AATCCAGACCAGGTTTTTGTTCCAACCATCCAGTTGAGTACTCTATGACTCTTCATACCCAGCTGGTTGGTTGAAACAAAATCTCGGTCTGGATTTTTACTTTCTGGACCTGGAATGCACACCTCCGCAGGTTATACGGTTCTGCTGTGCTTTCTGCTGTGTTTGTCGATTGCCTGGGGGCAGCCGGCATTGGACGGGCCGGTTTAACAGCACGCAGCTCTACCGGCAGCCGTCTTCCGGCAGCCGTCTGCCTGACTCTCTTTCCTCTATTAATAACGGGCCAGTGTTTCAGCACGGAACGCTCCGGAACATAGTCTTCCCTCCTTTTTTTGTAGTGGTCCCCATCGGGGTCTCATTCGGGGAGGGGGGCAGTCACACACTGCTCTCTGCACCTCTGCCCGGGGGTCAGAGCGGTGGATACTCCCCATGTCTGAAACGGGTGGGGTCAGGTGTGTTGATGAGCTGCCCCCTGGGCTGACGCCAAGGCCTGGTGAAGCGGCCCCCCCTTTAAAGGACACTTAGGCTACGCGTGATAGACGTCCTTGAGTCCTGGGTGACCCTGTAGCATCTAGCCGAGGAGGACACCGGGCCACGTGCCGCACACGCACACCTCGTCCCCCCGGGGGCCGCGAAAGCCAAAACCAAAACCATAATATCTGGCTAACAATCCCGCCTTACGGGCATGCAAAGCCGTCAGTCGCTGACATGTGTGTGCGTGTGAGCACGTGTTTGTTTGTATCAACTGCTCTCCCTGGGTCTTTTATTTTTTTCATATGATCTTCCTACCCCCAGTAGCACTCTGGAGATCTCCCACAGCTCATTGGGAGGTGGAGTTCCCACCCAGAGCCCCAGACGTGGTTCTTCGGTCTCGGACGCCTTGTGTATATTCCTCCCCATCCGGACTGTTTAGGCCGGACATACCCTGCGTTCCTTTTAATTAGAAGCTTTCCAGGACAATAACAGGCTCTCTGTGTTAATGAAGATTCATAGCGTGTGTGAGGCGCAGGCAGAAATCACTTCCTAGATTAAAGAACGTGTTTTTCCTGTCAGAGATTTGTTTGGGGCCTGGCTGGACTTCAAATTGTTTTTTTAAACTTCTGATTTTTATCTGACGGCAGTTAAAAGAGCCCCTGACAGCATGGCTGCAGGATGGCGGGGGGAGGGGGGCGGTAGGGTGTAACTCCCACTTCACTGTTCAGGATTTTCTTCTTGGGGGGGTACTGACATGCTACTGCCCCCCTACAGGTCAGCCTAGCGTACGCCTACGAGACCAAGGACGCCCTCTGCCTGGTCCTCACCATCATGAATGGCGGCGACCTCAAGTTCCACATCTACAACATGGGCAACTCGGGCTTTGATGAGCAGCGCGCCATTTTCTACGCCGCCGAGATCTGCTGTGGTCTGGAGGACCTGCACCGGGAGAGGATCGTTTACAGGTACCCCCCCCCCGGCTCTCTGTCATTATACCCCCTAAATAAGGAAACCACAGCCTTCCCTGTGATAAGCAGAGGCGGAAAGTTCAGGTCTAGAAATTACAAATCCAGACCAACATTTTGTTTCAACCAACCAGTACTACTTGGTTAAAACAAAATCTTGGTCTGGATTTATACTTTCTGGACCTGAACTATCCACCTCTGGTGATAAGCTCCAGGCTCTCTGAGACCCTGCATTCATTTTGAAAGCCCAGAACCCCTGATTAACATGTAGCCACACTCTGTCAATGACCTGTGTAACAAAATAAGCATAATTGTGATATCATGTAACAGTGCCCCTGGTGGACAGTTGCATAGATGCAGCTGGATGACTGAGAGATGTTGGGGCCCATGAAAGCGTGTCATACCCAGTCCAATCCAATTGGGGGCCATTTTACTCAGGGGCCCTTGAAATCGCCATAATCTTCCCCTCCCGTTACAGCACCCCTGATCACCAGTAAGGGTGTCCGTTTCCAGATTTTGCAATCCAAATGGTCATTTAATCAATAAACGAAAATATAAACATGGTTTCTCTTGTTTTTCCTTTATTATAGGGACTTGAAGCCTGAAAACATCCTTTTAGATGACCGTGGTAAGTCTTTTTTTTTTCTTGATTAATCTGACATTCAGTTATACCCAAACTACTGCGGTTTGTCGCAAAACTGCCTGAGATCTTTTGATTAATTTTTCTACAAAATATGATTTGATTTCATTTTGCCGCTAAAGACACCGAACCTTTCAAGGGTAAATTCCCAGGCTTATCGGTGACCGTTAAAAGTCACTTCAACCAGTTCCTGCAGATAAAGTATGGCTTCGAGAGTATTTTCTTTATAAAGCTAGACGAGCGTATGTGTCGTTCAATCCCTCCATCGTCACTCTTTCCTCGCAGGTCACATCCGGATCTCTGACTTGGGGCTGGCGGTCCAGATCCCGGAAGGGGAGACGATACGGGGGCGAGTCGGCACAGTGGGCTACATGGGTAAGCGTCAGGCTGGTGTGTGTGGGGGGGGGAGCTTCCTGCTTCTCCTCGGCCCCCATCCTTTCTTGTTCTGACCCCCATGACACGGAGCAGGGAATTACAACACGGGAAGATTCCCTGAGGGTAGGTGCAAAATACAGTTGTCACTTAAACACGTCGTGTCCCTCGCCGACAGCTGGGTAAGTTCCAGTTGGCCATGTTACCGCCCCCTAGCTGTGGGGCAGGGAATGGGCTCGACATTTAGCACTGTTGCCAGTGGCGATCCTGCCAAGCTGAGTGCAGTTGGTGGGGTGGTTTGTGACACGATCTACAGCAGGGCTATTCAACTTCCAAATCCAGGCCGTGTTTTCAGTTCTCCCAGGTAGTTATTTTAATAATTACTGATTCTGATTGGTCAGAGGCTTCACACCTGGCTCACAGGTGAAGGAAGGCTGGAAAATCAGCAGGACTCGGCCCTTGAGGACCGTGAGTTGAATAGCCCTGATCTACAGTGTCACTTAATGCAGACCGTCCCCGACTTACAATGGGGTTCTGTTCCAACAGACAGGTTATACATCAAAATGGACATTTTGGGATAATCGCACTGACTTTTAGGCGTGAGAGTGAGACTGGGAGATGGTCACACTGCCATAGAGTGCAGTACTTTCCTGCAGCGACTATTTTACTTTCCAGAAGAGAAAAGTTCTGGTTCAGAAAGTGCAAATCCAGATTTTGTTTCAACCATCCAGTTGAACACTTTGTAACTGTGACTCTTTATGCTCAACTGGTTGGTTGAAACAAAGTCTTGGTCTGATTTTTTGCTTACTGAATCTGAACTTTCCACCTCTGGTACTTCGGTCGAATGTACGAGTCATTGTAAGTTTAATAGGTTATAAGCAGGAGACAGTATGAGCAGCTGGAGAGGTCCTGATCCGGGGCTCCGTCTCGACCCGGCAGCTCCTGAGGTGATCCAGAACGAGAGCTACACCTTCAGCCCGGACTGGTGGGGCCTGGGCTGCCTGATCTTTGAGATGATCCAGGGCCAGTCGCCATTCCGCCGGCGCAAGGAGCGCGTCAAGCGGGAGGAGGTGGACCGGCGGGTGCGCGAGGACCAGGAGGAGTACTCCGAGAAGTTCTCCGAAGAAGCGAAGGATATCTGCAGGCAGGTGAGCATTCCAGCTCCTCTCCCAGACTTCCTGAGCCGCTGAAGCTATCATCCAGCCCAGTCAAGCTTTTGGATTGTCATTGTGAACTCATGTGACCTACTGACTTTAGCGTCACATGACCTGCTGGCCTTGGTATCACATGACCTGCTGGCCTTCGTATCACATGACCTGCTGGCCTTGGTATCACATGACCTGCTGGCCTTCGTATCACATGACCTGCTGGCCTTGATATCACATGACCTCAACAACCTGATGGCTACCTCATTGTAAAATGGATTCGGATGTATTCCCAATTGTAGTAGTTCCTCTTCAGGTTTCAGACTGTATCTCATCTCGATCTGAACCCGACCCACTGAAAATGATGATGACAGACCGGCTACTATACCATGGTAGCTTGGCCTGTGATCATATCAGGATGATAAGGATGGGCACCCAGAAGGTATATAGTTTCTAGTTCATAGTGGCACCGTTGCAGAAGGATATAAATCCACCTGTTAGTAAGGATGCAGAAAAATGAATGAGTTATAGTGTTTCAAAGGTGCCACTGACTGATGTGCATCCCCAAACGAATGCTGGGTGACGAAGCATCGGTCTGGAGCAAGGTTAGGTCACCCTGATCCCAGAGTGCCGTCTCCAGCAGGTTTTCCATCCTGCCTGGCCTCTGATGAACCGCACCTGATCTCAGGCAGATGGTAACTCATCAGGTAGGATAGAAGACCCGGTGGACACCGGCACCCCAGGATCAAGGTTGCCTATCCCTGGTTTAGAGTCGTTTGTCAAGCAGGGATTTAACACTGAGTTGACGCCCCGACGGTGATGTGTTCTGTCGCTAGGACAGCGATGTGAGAACGTGGCGTGAGAACACGCTAAGCTAAATTAAAACTCGTCCCCCAAGATACGGTGGTCGTCCAAGGCAAAGTGAAATATCGACGGACTTGCCCCGAGTGGAACATTCTGACCTCTGATGTGGAGCAGTTGAAGGTTCCCATGGGATGAAGTGGAGCTTTGTATATCAAGCCTCACTTAGAGATGAATATCAGCTGTGTCTTATAATAGACTAATGTTTGAACAAGCAGAGGAGCTAGAGGACAGGGCAAGATGTGACCCTGGTTATTTTACCCATAACGAACACCATTGTTTGTGTCAGATGTTGTGTGACTGAGATTGAGGACTGGGATTGAGGACTGGGATTGCTCTAATCGCTTTCCAGATGCTGGAAGGAGATGGTATGATGTAATCTAAAAATATCACTACTGATCATGGAAACCCACTGTGGGTGACATTACCTGTAGTCACCGCTTGTTTTATCCTAAAGGGAGTTGAGTAACCAATCAGAATCGGTCGTTTAGACCAGCCAATGATGCGTTGCTTGATGATGTCACCCGCCGGCGCTTTGGAAGCCAATTTTCCCCCATCGCTTCTCGTCACACCTTCAGCTGTTTGCTGTTACCAGCTCTACAGTGAGCATAAGGGTTGTGTATGGTGCTGAAGTGCTTAAGCGTCGTCTGCTTATCACCAAGCTCTCAAATCCACGACAGTCATTGGCTTCACCCCCACAACCCCCAGGGATTCCCTCCCCCCACAAGGTCACATGCTTCCCCGATTGGGTCACAAACTAGCAGGCCCCCTGAAGTACTGCTACAGATACTTATGTTTCCTTTATATGGATATTACAGCACAGACACTATTTTGATTTAAGGAATATGTCTGGGCCCCCAAAACCATGAAAAGAGATTCATTGACATTACTAACATATGTCTTATATAGCCATTTATGCAAGTTTTATGAAAGCATGTGTTTTTTTTGTTGCTTGCCAGCGAAACTTTTTTTTCGAATGACGTAACAAGCATATGGTCATTAATCTGGGGTTTTTTTAATCTCTGTTTGGCGGGGGCAGGGAGGGGGCAGGCCTAGCCTGTTAGCCTAGCCTCCGTTGAAGATTGGAGTTCTATAGGTGCACCGAAGATGGAGGGAGATTTTTTTACTTTTTTTTACCGTAAATCAGAGATGTTGTGGCGGGTATAGGCAAAATACATATACCTTATGCCCATTGTCAGAAACGTGTATCAGTCATAGGAAAAGTGCATATGGTAGTCCTTCTATATTCACGGGCGATACATTTCGAGACCTACCATGGTTAGCTGAAACCGCGGGTAATAGTGTACCATCTGCGGATCGCATATATAACGTGGTGTATCTATGTATGGTAAAGGTATATACAGCACCGTACGTTAAAGGCCGTAAAGGTCTTGGCTGTGCTGGGGATAGCTGAAGTGCGGGCGGTACGGCGTGCCGAACCCCCTAACCATCCTCCTGGGTGTCCACACCACCACCCCCCCCCCCCCACCCGTCCCACAGCTACTGGCAAAAGACCCCAAGGAGCGGCTGGGCTGCCAGGGCCGCGGAGCGGCAGAGGTGAAGCAACACGGCATCTTCCGGAACATCAACTTCAAGAGGCTGGAGGCCAACATGCTGGATCCGCCCTTCAGCCCCGACGTAAGCGGCCTCATCTTTGGATCTCCAGGGGAGAGCTCGTCCCTTTATTGTGCTTGTAATGAAATTATAAACACACACACACACACTCACACAGTGGGCCATAATTACACTGTTGCTGTAATCCGAGGGCTTTTAATTTGACGTTACACATGGGCCTTTTGTGTGAGGTATAGAATCTCTGTGACTGTGTCGGTCAGCTGTGACCCCGGTGACCAACTGATCGCCTTGGCGCACCAATTCGACGGTGCGGCCACGGCACCGACAATCCCCTGGGTTTTGTCTCCTGAAGGCCGTATTGTCTCTTCCTCAGCCACGGGCGGTCTACTGCAAAGATGTTCTGGACATCGAACAGTTCTCCACTGTCAAAGGGGTGAACCTGGACCCCACGGACGACGACTTCTACCACAAGTTTGTCACAGGAAGTGTCTCCATCCCCTGGCAGAACGAGGTACTGCATCAGCAAACTGAAATATCGTAGAAGCTAAACGGATAACAACGTAAAAGTAGCACGCTTTTACACTGCTGTTTTCAAAAACCAGCACGGTATAATAATATCCAAGTAGCTACCGGTGCAGTTGGAAAAAAATGTAAAGTGCGTATCTAATTTTACTAATCAGACTTGGGCTGTCTGAGGTCGTTTCCTGTCACATGGAATGCTTTTGTTCAGAGGTGACGTATCTTGCGTTCCGAAGGTGCTAACGCAGCTGAGCCTGCAGAATGCAGTCAGAGGTCTTCCGGCCAGCCGGCGGTTGTTCATTGTCCTGTAAACCGCTGCGCTGTGTGTTTGGCCAGGTCCCTGATTTATAGAAATGCTGTCAACTAGTGGAGAAAACTCACTGCTTCTAAAATGTGCATTATAACGGGGAGAGGCATGTAACACGTGTGAAACACAAAATATAAACATAATGTAGATATATGCATGGTTTGAGGACTGAGCCAAGAGACTTGGATCCCTGGACTTTATTTTAGGTAATTCCTGTTTTCAGTAGGCAGGGATAAATGTGAGATCTATACGTCTATAAGTCTGAAAGGGGGGAGGGCTTTTTGATTGTATTTATCCCAGGTTCTCTGTTCTCTTTGGGACAATGACTAATGTTTACTCTGTTTTTGTTCCACTGAGATCAGCGAAAGTTCTTCAACATGTTGATCTGCCATTGTCCTGTATGTCAGTTGGGTTGAGGGTTTTAAGGTTTGATGGCTTGTTGGAGTTTTACTTACACAAATATGTTCTGAGGGCAGAATGAAAAATCATGGGTTCAGAGAGATAACCAATAAGATTGTAGAAGAGGTCAGTCCAAGCAACTAAAAGAGGCAGGACCAACCAATCAGATGTCTTGGTCCTGCATCCTCTACTTGCTTAGACCCACCTCCTTTACAATTTGATTGGTTATCTCTCTGATTGGTTCATGGGCGATTTGCTGAGTCTCCTTTAAGGTGAGCTTAAGCGTAATTTTCTGTATGTAGAAGTTGACCTCTTTTTTGTGCATTGATTTGAACTTTGATCCCTGTTAACCTTGAGGGTTTTAGATGCTGTACTGTATAGTGAGTTGCCTGTTACCTTGTGCGGAAGTTTAAGCCAGCCTTTTTCAAGGGAGCAATGGTCTGCCTAACTCTCCCCTTTCTTGTCCCCATCACTGGTCCTGAGCAATCACTGGATTGGCTCTCCTCTTGGCAGATGATCGAGATGGAGTGTTTCAAGGAGATAAACATTTTCGAGACAGACGGCATCCTGTGTCCGGACCTCGACGTGAACCGACCAAACCCCCCACCTAAGAGAGGCCTCTTCTACAGGCTCTTTGGGAGACAGGCAAGTTCCGGAAGGAAACCTGAGACGCTTTAGTCACGGGACTCCTCACTAGTTCTGATGTTGAGCTCCCAGACTGTAGGTGGCCATGACTCCAAAAACACACTGGTAGCAGAGCCGTAATGAAGCGGCAGAAACATTCAGCTACAGCAGACAGTGTCTGATCGATTGGACGTCCGCCACCCTAAATATCGAAAGTTGTAAGTTACTTTGGAAAAAAGTGTCAAACGTAACCGTAACGTTTACATTAGGCTCTCTAAAATTCACAGTCCTTTAGTTTCACTTATATGGGCACGTGAGGATAAATATTTCTAGGTCCTAGTTTTTCCCAGGCTTTGGCGCCCCCTAGTGTCTGCTCTGACTGCTGACAGGCCACAGAGGAAGGTCTTCGCCTCTCGGGGGACAAGTAACTACCTGTTCCCTGTTTCCAGGTCTGCTTTAAGAGTGGCTACAGTGACGAGGATGAGGAACCCTCCAGACTTTAAACCACTGTCTGCCAAAAGATCGCAATCTTAACAAAATGAATGTTTTACTGTATTTATGAATTGTATCAAAAGTGTATTATAATTAAAGAAAAAAGTATGAGTTTAAAGATTTTGTACATTTGTACTTGAATTATGTCTAGATGTATATTTTCACTAAAGGTTGTACTGTATAAAAAGCCATAAAAGTACCACTTGAATGCATACATAATGTTTTTTCCTTTGGAATTAGTATGAAAATGTGTATTTAATTATTGTTTTCAAAGCACAGTATGGTATCTGTCTTATTCTTTGCAGTAGCTTAGGGATTCATGTCTCACGTTCCCATTTTCTTCATGTTTCTTTGGACAACACATAACATTAATGCACCACACTGTCAGCCGCGAGATCCTATAACGGCGACACATCCGGAAAGGTACGCTACGAGCCGAGTAGGGCCGCTCCTAACATCCCGGATGATGAGGGAAAAGCGGGGATGCGAATTTTAATTTTACAAGGTGGGTTTGAGAAAGCTCATTTATATTCATGAGATGCTACTTGATTGACCAGTGAATGCTTTTGACAATTCGCTGACCAATCAGGTACCTCCTCTCATAAATACAAATGAGTTTCCCCGTACCACCCTCCAAAACGAAAATTCGCAAGTGGGATTCGTAGCTTTGCTCGCACCCGATAAGCACACTTCTCCTGCATTACTTTGACCAGCTTTAACATCCAGATACACATTGGTCGACAGAGACACAGAACAGCCGCCACCGGATCACCGTCCTACCAAAACTTTTTTTTCTCCGTTCAGACGAAAACGGGGTCAGCAGAAGACCATTATGCATATTTCCTCCATTTCGTTCATTCGCATCATTTTTTATTTTTTTTTAAAAACATAATTACGCAGTAATTATTATGGCCTTTTTTCTTTCATTCTTTGGAAATTGTGCTTTGTGATGTGAGCTGTTTAAATAATGCTTGTCGCAAACAAAATAGCAAACAAAAGTCTTTTAAATCCGAAAGTAGTACTGGATCGGATATCCATAGTGGTAAATAAATAACATTCCAAACTGTTGTGTTAAGATTAGGGATGTAATCCTGATGTCATGGTGCCTAATATTCCCTGCTGATTTTAGTGAGCAACTTTGGGTGTACCTATGCCTTAAGCAATGATAATAACTGAACCTTATGTTAAATGTTGCTAAACACTCACAGCAGACCACTGTCTTACAGTAGAGCCAAAGCCTATCATAAAATATACGGCTGGCCTTTACCCATTTTCAGTATTTTTTTTTTTTAATTACACTGCGAAGTATAATATTTGAGCAACTCCTCGAACGGGGTTTTTGAAAACGACAAATAAGTCTGTATGTATATAATATAATTAAATATGTTTAGTGCTAGACGGGATTTTGCATTATTATGTGTTTTTAATTGTAACTGCACACATGCATTGAGGCACGCGCGCAAACGACTGCGGTGTCTGTAGTTTCCCGCCGAAAACGTGCTTCGCATGTGTTCATCATCTAGCCTATATGTCCACACAACTCATGTACAGTTACTTACTCTGTACAGTTTCCAAGTGAAATACATTGGCTGCCTCCTAATCCACGCTTTATACCAACCATATTTGTACAGAAACGCAATATCGACTCATCCGAAATGATGGAAAACGGAACTTGCTCAGATTATCTGCCATTAAGCGTTAAACTGACACTTTTGCATTTCCATCCAAGTAGGCCGAAATCGTACTTGTTAAGATGCAAAGCTCTGTGTTTTGGCTCTGTGTGGGAAGCCATGAGTGTAAACGACACCCCTGGCTTATTACAAGGGGTAGATGCGGTAGATGATTTACTTTGGCTCTTGGCCCGGGGTACGTTGATTTATAATTTGTTCAACAGCCGCAGCCACAGTCGCAGTTAACTGAGAAGGTGACTGATTATCATGATAATCTTTCCGTTAGTCTGCCAGAGGAGTATCGCCGCGTTCCATCCATTTGCTTGTCCATTCCCACGCAGCACATGTATTTATAAAAACTCTGCTTACCTGTAAAGATACAGAACCGTATTGTTTTAACTGCACTTTGTCAATCTGGGTGCAGCAGAGAAGTTGACATTTGGACGTGACCGGAAGGGGTGCATTTGCAGGGTCTGCTGTTTTATGTCACATTTCTTTCTGCACGATGCTGGAGTGGGTGTTAATCCTGTTTCCAGCAGTCGTTTGTTGTCCCCAAACCCCCCCCCCCCAATGTAAACTCCTTGCAATTATGGACTTTAACCAACTCGTGTTAATGCTGTGAAGCCAATGTCTAATTCCATTACATTTTAAAATGTTTCATTTTCTGCGTTTTAACTTTGATGTTTTCAGGAACTGTCCGTAAAACAGGAAACAAGTCTTGAATTGGCCACGGTTTCCACTGTTAGATATGATTGACCTGGGCAGCAGAGATGCAAACCTTCCGCATCCCGTGGGAAACAAAAACGGCTCGAAAGGAAGGAACCGTGAATCATTTTGCAGGTCTTAAAGCCGTTCTGATGGGGTTTCTGATGATCTCCATTTAAATTCTCGCTTTTAATTTGGAACGAGAGTTTGTAAGTAAACTCTGGAAGCGTTTCGTAAAAGGGCACCCATCGCCACTTTGGAACAATTTTCTGGATGTTTAATCATGGATTCTCATTTTATGTGAAACATTGATTTTTTTGCATGCCCGGATCGGGAAAAACAAGTTTTTAACACCTGTAATATGATTAAAGTCCACAATACACCACTCACAGAACATGATATGGGCTTTTAATATTGTTCTGTGATGAAATAGCATAATTGATGTGTACACATGCAGCTACTTTGAACTGGCTTGACCACATCGGGTAGCAGAAGTGATTCATTTACATTACTGAGTAAAGGTAAATATTAAGGAGCTGTTACAGACATGTTTTGTGTCTCTACTGGGCTGTGTGATAGATTTTATCATAAGATGGCATTAAGGCACATTCGTGGTCAGTGGGTCTTAGGGAAATGTGAACGAGTGACATTAATTCTTCTAAATGACTGGCTGCGATTGCTTTTGTTTGCCCATTGAGGCTTAAGTGTCTGTTTGTAACTTTCTAACACAAATATGTGAAAACAAAAGTTTCCCGCATTTCTATTGAGAAATTAAAATAGGAAATTGCCATTACATGAAATTGACAATTTCATCATATTTGATATGTCATGTTAAACCTGAAAACATATTGACCTTTGCCTGAGTGCCAGTTTTTTATTATTATTTTTATTATTATTATGGGATATTTTGTTATCTGGTCCATGGGCCTATTGGAGAGACGAATCTGCTACATCCCCAAGTTTGCTGGTAAGGAAATAATTTAAAGTTTGAATGTCTGCACAAAGTGCATTTTAATGCCTGTTTAGAAACATGTTACTAATCAAGCATGTATTAGTAGTAATCTTCAGGTTTCTTGTTTGTAAATTATATCGCAGTGCCAACATATCATGCATATCGGATGCCACCTTTATTCATTTCATTCCCGGTGAGCGATTTTGTAGGTGTACAGTCATGTCTTTCAACCACTGCAGTCAATGTAATTCTTGTACAAGTTCTGTCACTGGGTGTTGTACCATATCTGACATTTGTATTTATGAAATAAAACACTGCCGTTTGTACACAGGTCGCAGTGTCTTTATTGTGGGCTCTGAGGGTGTTATGAAACCCTACTCTGACATAATTTAAGGTCATTAATGAACACCTTCCATTGTTATTCGCACAAAAGAAGACTCAATCCTTCAGCTGTGTTACTAATCTCTAATTCTAAATTGTAGGAAACCAGTTGTTATCTGTCAACCACTTATCCAGTACAGGACCATGAGGGCAGCCTTGATAGGATGCCAGTCCATTACAGGACTGGACAACTATGGGCAATTTAAAGACACAATTTTACCTACCTGCTCATCTTTGGACTGGGAGAATAGCACAATGGGTCAGTACAGATAGGTCACAGCAAAGAAAAACAAACCAGCAGTGTGTACAGTGGTACCAGTGGCCTTATTCATGGTGTGTTGGCTAAACTAATAAGTATTCATTCAGGATTTAAATATTAAGACCAAGGATGCAAGCCTCACATACGCTGGTTGACCACTGCCAAAACCCCTTTATTTATGTGAGGTTTTCTGAGGAGATCTGCATTCTGTGATCAGTAATCAGTTAAGTCAACAAGGCCTCTGTAAACAAAATGAAGAATTTCAAACTGTGTACTTAACTGGACGCCAGTGGAAATACATTAGAACAGGTGTGATACATGGTTGCATTTTCTTCCCGCAGTTACAGTTTTTGCTTGTTGTACTTATATATACGTTTCCAGGAAACATTAAGCTTGAATATTTGTAATGAAAATTTACAATATTTAGTCCACCAAACAAACAAGACAGGTCAACAAAACAAGAGACACATACAAATACAGATACTTGATAAACAATCGAAGGCACCGGCAAAATACGAAACGTAACAGTAACTAGCCGCAATCTTCGCAACGCGCCATTATATTCAAAACGTGCTAACACCCCTCCTACAATAATCCCTTTATTACTCTGAACATCCAAGTACACTGGAGAGCACTTTTCCATTGGACTATTTCATCCGTCATAACCCCCCTCTAAGAGCCCTAAGTCATATGACAAGCTGAAATTATGGGCTTGGAAGTAAATACGCAAGCCTTTCCGTTTTTAAGGACGCTGCAGCCCGTCGATTGGCCGCCACTCCTGTCAATCAAACCCAGGTTGCTTCTGAATGGCTGCAGATGTCGCGTCCTGCCCCTAAGCTGTCACAGCACCCACTTCCTAGGGAGGTTGACGGGATGCGTTAAAGATGGCTCGCAGAATTGGATGCGACGCGAATTCCGTCCCATTCATTTTGGAATAACATTGGCGAAACCTAAAACAACCGGCGGACGACAGAAGCGAGGGCTCTGCGGCGTAAGAGCCGCCGCTTGCTTGTCTTCGTACCGGCGGACCGGCGTCTCGCGAGCCGCTCGCGCCCGGTTTTGTTTACGACGCGCGCCCGCCGCTCGTGCGCCTATTTGTAAATATCGTACTGGCGGAAAATGGCCACCATGGAGAAGCTGATGAAGGCCTTCGAATCGCTGCGCTCATTCCAGCAGCAGCAGGGACCGCCGTCGGCCGAGGAGCTGGTGCAGAAGCAGTAAGTAGCGAGCGCTTCGCTGGAGGCCCGGCTGCTGTGGGCTTCGTTTATCCAGTCGGGAAAAGCGGCGTCATCCGAAATCCTCCCACGGCCGCCGGGAGAGGGGTAATGCGGCTCACCCGGCGCGTTACCGGCCGGCCGCAGCCTCCCTCTCCCCCGTGGCGACTGTGCAGACTGCCGGTCCTTCTTGCCGTTTTTCGCGTTAAAGGCTGGCTGCCCCCCTGTCACCTTCCCCCTGCCTCGGGAAGCTGTAGATGCAGGGGTGTGTGTGTTTGTCCCTCCCCACGCCTGATGCCATTTTTGCATGCCTTTGCCCCAGGATGGTGCGTGCAGCTTTATGATCGTTCTCGCAAACATTTCTGACGCTTATTTATGCTCCTCGCAGAAGATTAAGACAGATTAACAACCAGTGCCATTTGACGTTCGCTTGCAGTGCGGCTGGATGCAATGTTGTTATGCGGGTCAATCCAGGGGTTGAAGATCGCTGAAACCGTTATGTTATAGCGATTTGGGTTGCAGAAAACCCAGTTTGTAAGTTTTTCCTTTCCCACCAAGTAACGCTGCTTAAAAATCCGCCAATTGAACGGCACTGGTATGCTGCGGCATGAATGCTTAATGGGAGGAATAGAGTGCCATTTATCTTTTAGGTACACTCAGGTACAGCGTAAAGCAGGCTCATCAAGACATTCTGCATTTATATGTTTTATATTCACCTCACCTATCAAGCAGACTGTGTCCCTTATGTGTTGACATACAAATCACAGCCTCTTACCACCTGTTAAATCCGGAATTTATCACTGGTTATGCTTCTGATAGTAATTTATTCACATCTTATTTACGTACTTCACTCTTTAAAACAGGATATGAGCTGTATATTTTCTGCCTCTGAGGGTAAGTAAGGATTAATTTCCTGTTCGGCCACAGAGCAACTGGTAATTACCTGCCAGTCACTTTGGAAACTAGTGTAGAACTATTTAAGTCTGGTCCACTATGCTGGTTTACTCTCAAGGCTGAATTCCTGGTGATGGGAATTGTGGTGAACTGCAGTTAAGGGGGTCCAGCACAAGACATGTAAGGCAGACCTCCTCTTCAGCACTGTCTCTGTGTTATAAAGCCCATGTAGTAAGCAGTACAGTATCTTCCTGTTGTACTGGAAACGGAGACGCACGACCGTGTGTCTTTAACGCAGTTTGCTGCAGGACTGCATGTTTCCTGGCTGTCCCGTTAGCCCCCTGCCCTGCCCTCAATTCTGCGATTCCATAACTTCGCAGCATGTCAGTTCTTGTCCATTGAAAACCATGACTGTTAATTAAAAGGGTAGAATGGCATTGAAAATCAAAAAAATCGCACTGAGGTTCTAGATCCCCGTGACCCTGCGTAGGACAAGCAGGTTTGGAAAATAGATGAGCGGGCGGGTGATGGATTATGGCACTGGTTTTGTAATTAATGTGAGGTTGGCTTAAAACGTCCAGTGTTAAACCAGAGACGGTTCTTGATTTCCAAATTCTAAATTTTAGAATTTGTAGGCAATCTCATCATTTCTGTCCATGATTTAAGATTTTATTTTTTAATAATTATTAGCTCCTAGATGCAACCTTGGTCTGCCCTAACTCCCTGTATGGCATGAAGACCTGCTTAACTAACTGAAAACACTCTGCATAATGGGACTTTAGTCGAAAGGTTTGCCGGGCTTGCTGGTGCTGTGTGAAAATGGAGGACCTGGAGGACTGATTGGGGTTTTCTCGCTGCTGGGAAGAGTTGGGCTGTGTCCTGTAGCTGGTGACGGCACCGGCTGCGTCCTGTGGTGACATGAGCTGGGTGTCACGGACGCGTGGAAAAAATATCGCCATGCTAACAGGATGCGGTAACCTTACCTGTCTGTGCTGTCGGTTTCTCTGCGCGGCCCATGGTGCAGCGTGACTTTGTAGTCAAACACTCCCACGTTAACCCCCCCCCCCCCCCCAAGTACCATTGACTGTTTTTTTTTTAGCTGTCCGCCGATTTGCCGCAATCTCGCTATTCTACCGTTACATCACCCATTCGAGAGCACAGTCGGCCTACCTGCCGCGTTGGAGACCTGCTAACAGGTTTCGGAGCTGAGACTGACAGGTCTTCCGTCGAGTTGGCAGGTCCTGACTTTCCTGGCTATAGACTTTGCTATGCTTGCTACTTGGTGGTTTCTGTATCATTGGTTCTGAGCCTGGGTGTCTGCCTGCCTGGGATTTGCACAATCCCCCCTTCGCATTTTCACCTTAAGACATGTTTCTCAGGCACATTGGCCTGCTGTGCTGAGACATGGCTCTGTGACGGTGACTGTACGTGACAGTGTGTGTGTGTCTGTGGGAGAGTGTGTGTCCCACGTTCTGGGTCATCTCAACTCTGCTTGAAGAAGTGGGTGACCCACTGGATGGATATATATGTTTGTGTGTGTGAAGAGTGGGTATATCTCGAAGTAACACTTTATGCTATATTTAGTTTTAAGGAGCCCTTGTTATCTACTTTATAACGAAATCAGTCCCAGAACAGGAACATCAGTAGTGTAAACCTTTCAGGGTAAGTCGGGTTTTGGTTCTCTCTGCATGATACAGTGTAGTGAGGGCAAATCTGAACTTCTGTAAATGTGACCATAGTTGGATGCATCCTTGTGTGATCACAGGATGTGGGTATGTGTGTGTAGGGGGGGTGGCAATTCACAGCACATTTACTGCCAGTTGCACTTCACTTGGTTGCATGACCCCTCCCTGCTTCTGTGATTTTGTCCCAGGCCTTATATCCGGTGTCCCCGTTTTCTGCAGTTTCATTTATTTTATTTTTTTTTAAATCGTGTCTCTTGTAGGAAGAAGGATCTTACCACCACCAAAAAGGACAGGGTGACTCACTGCCTGACGATATGCGAAAACATCGTGGCCCAGTCCCTGAGGTAAGACACCTAACCCAGTGAAGCGTGATAACGCTCTGCTGAGGCCACGTTACAGTAGTGGGCCACAGACTGGACCTGCGGACGCCAGACGCGTGATTGTTAAAAACCGCACTGCCGATGGTCGGCTTGTCCGAAGCCAGCCGTACTGCGACTCCGGATGTATGTGCGGTCACAAGGGAGTAGATCTGTGTGGAGTGACTGTGACCCCTATGACCCCGGCACCAGGACCTCCCCGGAGTTCCAGAAGTTGCTGGGCATCGCCATGGAGATGTTCCTGCTGTGCAGCGACGATGGCGAGTCCGACGTCAGGATGGTGGCGGACGAGTGCCTCAACAAGATCATCAAGGTGAGGCAAGGTCCCCTTCCTCTGCGCCGGGGTCGAAGGGTGTAGCCGGCCGGAGGGTGAAGCCGGTGACACTCTCTCCCCGTTTCTGTGCCGTGTGGCTGACAGTCCGTGACGGTAAGGAGAAGCTGTGGGACAAGCTGTTGAACTTTTGGAAAGGAGATAAGTGATTTTTTTTTGTTCTAGGAGACCTGTGTCTTCGTATCTCTCACCCCAAGGGCTCAAATCGAATTTCGTCTCCACGTTCTCTGTTACTGAATTGTTCCAGTCTTTAAGCCGCGCACCCGGCTGGCTGTCCAGCTTGGGTGGAACGTAACTGCGGGGTCCCGAACCTCCCAGCCACAGCGGGTCCGGTGACGGCGGGGTTCCGGCTTAACGGCTGCTCTCTCCTCACCAGGCGCTCATGGACTCCAACCTTCCCCGTCTTCAGCTCGAGCTGTACAAGGAGATTAAGAAGGTAAGCGAATGCCGTCCGGCCGCGCTTTTCTGTCCGTCGAGGAGCCGCGTCTGCCGGCTGGGGAGGTGTCGTGTAAAACAAGTTCAATTATTGAAATTATATTAATTCATGTCATGGTTTAGTTTACAGCTCCCCTTAATGTTAGGTGTCTGTAGTTTTCCGGTGATTAGTGGTTGTATATGAGCAGGTTTCCTGCGTATGTTTGCTGTGAGAATCAAAGTGAAATTATGGTCTGTGAATGGCTTTGAGCCAGTTTCCTTTTGTAAAACCCTCTCTGTGTGCTTTGATTCTGGCTGAGGAATCATAAGCTAGCTGCCCTGCCGTTTCCTCTCTGCTGTTGTGCTGCTCCCTAGGGCGTTATCTTGATCAGAAGTGGTGGCGAGGGATCTGTAGGTGACCTTTGATCGCTGGCGGTCTTGGATGCGCCCACGTGCCGTCGCCGCCGTGTAATTTTAAAAGGAGAGTGAGGTTCTGCATCTAGTGGGCGCTGTGTTGGGGAAGCTAAAGCAGGCCGGTGTCCCCTTGCAGAACGGCGCCTCACGGAGCCTCAGGGCGGCGCTGTGGAGATTCGCGGAGCTCGCCCACCTCATCCGGCCGCAGAAGTGCAGGTGACGCCCTCGTCCAGCCTCCCGCGGCCCCTTGACCTCCCGATCGCGCTCCTGACCCTGACTGACCCTTTCAGGCCCTACCTGGTGAACCTGCTCCCCTGCCTGACGCGCATCAGCAAGAGACCCGAGGAGACCGTGCAGGAGACTCTGGCCACCGCCATCCCCAAGCTCATGGCCGCCCTGGGGAATTTCGCCAATGACAACGAGATCAAGGTGTGACAGGGTCACGGGGGTTACGAGGCGGTTTGTGTTTGGTGGACACTGCGGTTGGGAGGCTTGAGGATAAAGTTGTTGGGAAATAGTTGTTGACATTCCTCTGGTGTTGGTCTGGGTCATGTGATGGTGCCGGGTCATGTGACGGTGCCGGGTCGTGTGACACTCTCGGCTCTCAGGGGAAGGGGGCTCTGAAAAGCATAATCGTATCATTTAGTGTTAGTTCCTAATGAAAATGAACAACCTTTGGAGCGCGGATGCCGTGCGTGCCTGTACCAGCACAGCACGCCTCCAGGTGGCGCTGTGCTTCTGTTCGCCTTTAGTGCTGTGTCATGTCGGGGGTGGGGGGGCTGCTCAGCCGCGACTTCCTCTGTGGGGGGGGAGGCGGAGGGAGGGAAGGCCTTTCCGACGTGCCCAGTCTGCCGTTCCCAAGCACTGCAGTAGGGTCACGTCATGCTCTAAATGTGGCCGGTGACTCAGGATGACGTAATCGCCCCTCCGTACGCAGACAGCGGGCCCCACAGGAGCCGGAATCTTCCGCTGGGCCGCCGCCGCCGCTCGCTCTGCACCCTGGCTGCTGTGCGTCCTCAGGCGTGACGCCCAGGCTCGAAGTTGTGGGGGGGGGGGGGTCTCTGGCTGGGGAGGAACCCGTGATGATGTATGACGACGTCCGATTCGGTCTGTCGGGTGTGAATGAGGATGCGGTGCTGATCTCAGGTCAGCGGGGCCCTGCAGTCGCTTTGTGCTGCCCCACCTTTCGCTTCCAAATAACCCAGGAAAAACCCTCGTCCTTAATCCAAAACGGGCTCCCAAGCTCTCCGGGTTAAAATTTATCTGCCCCCCCCCCCCATATATATTGATTGCCAGCATTACCCAATGACTCACTAATTTTCCTTCCAAGCAGAGGGATGTATTGTTACAGGAGGAATCACTCAAGCGTTTCAGCGGAGACGCAGAGCCATAATTATAGAAGCTTCTGTTCTGCTTCACATAAATGTCCCCAACCATAAATGCGCTACTTGGCCAAAACGATCTCATTCCGAAACGAAGGGTATCAGTGTGAAGCTGGTCTGCCCTTTGTTGCTAAAATACCACTTGTTCTTCTAGGGAAGCTTTTTCCACGAGATGGCGAAACATTGCTAGTGGGATTGCTGACATTCAGGTTTCAGTTTTGTGAGTTTGCGTTGCCATAAACTTCGCAACTGAACTTGCTTACTGTTGTTTTTATGTCTCTGGCCGCTTCTCTTGCGGCTGGCCGGGACAGGATGCATCTTCTGTATAGCCACCCATTCTGCTGCTAATGGTTGTTGCAGGAGAATGCATGTTTATGTGCTTAATTAAGCACTTAAGCCACACCCATCTGTGACACAATTAGCCAGTTTATCTAATAAATAGGGGTGTCGACATATTTCTGGTCAGATGGTAAATGTTTCTACTCAAACGGCTTAATGTGTCATTTTTTTTCTTGCAAAACGATAAATAAATGACTTGCAAACACCACGTTACACGTTACACCTGATAAGTGCCACCACATCACTGACGTCTCTTTACCTTGTTTATCTACAATATCTCCTCGTTGTGGCTGCTGAGCTGCTCCTCTCTTCACCGCGACTTCAGTGCTTATCGCTCTCATGATTTACCAAAACAGTCACATGTGGCGTGCACCACTAAATGAATTTAGTAAACATAAGGATACGCCGAATTTATACTAACTTAATAATTTATTGCTTTTGGGCGTCACAGTACTTCTCTCATTAATATTTTAGGCATACTACTGTTCTGCCTACGAAATTGTGGGCGTAAGTAAACGCCCTTATAGTACTGAAAAGCCAGCGTCCGGGCAAATGTTGGCACTCGTCACCTAAAGGCCTGGTGATTGCGCATGTGTCATATTCCTGCGTTCGATTATCTCTCAGAACTCGGAAATTCCGAGGTGAGTGACATCACGTCGGACAATCTCCCGTTCCAGCTACCACATCTCGGAACAAACATGGCTGCCTCCATGAACACGCTGCTGTGTGTTGTTGCTTTATATTTTAGCAGATTTGGAGTGAGAGTATTTTTTTCCGAAAGACAGACAAACAAGAAACACAAACTAGTCAAACCATATTAAAAGCTTTATGAAATATATACAAAATTTCCTATAGAAATTAATGGACGGTCCCCACAAAGATATGAATACATGGACTGTGTGTGTGTGTGTGTGTGTGTGTGTGTGTGTGTGTGTGTGTGTGTGTGTGTGATACTGCATGGTTGCCCTCCTGGGCACCCCCCCGTCTTGTGCCGCGTTATTCCTGGCCCAGGCCCCGGGCCACTCTGAGCTGGACCACGTTAGCTGACCTCCCTGAATCACTGCTGGTCTCCCAGGTGCTTCTGAAGGCGTTCGTGGCCAACCTGAAGTCCAGCTCAACCACCATCCGGCGCACGGCAGCCAGCTCCGCCGTCAGCGTGTGTCGGCACTCCCGCCGGCCCCAGTACTTCTACACCTGGCTGCTCAACGTGCTCCTCGGTGCGTCCTGGGGACGACCGCCGGCTCCTGCCTGTATAGTCTGTTTCGTTTGGACTTTAAACGGACCCTCAGGACTCTTTCCCTCCCGTGTAACCCCTCCCCGTGCCGCCCCCAGGTCTGCTGGTCCCTGTGGACGACGAGCACCCCAGCCCCCTCACGCTGGGGGCTCTGCTGACACTGCGCTATCTGATGCCCCTGCTGCAGCAGCAGGTGAAGGACACCACCCTGAAGGGCAGCTTCGGGGTGACACGCAAGGAGCCAGATATCTCGCCCACGCCCGAGCAGCTCGTCCAGGTGCCTGCCCGCCCGCTTCCTCATCTGTCCCCCGCCCTGGTCCAGTGCTGTGACTATTTACTGCCAGCCTGAAGGTTAATGGAGAATCTCCTGCTGTCGGGACAGGTGAATTATGGGTAGTGGCAGTCTGACTTGTAACCCTGACTGATGCGGTACAGGCAGAGATACCGTCTCCTTCGGTCACCAGTGACAGGTTCACGGCGAAGAACGCGCTTTATGGCCGTGATGTCAGAATCCTCATCTGTTCCATTTATCTGGGGGTGGAATGGGGACGGGTCAACTTCAGGGCCATAATTAGCAGAATCGGATGTTCTGAATAAAGAATTTATGGAACGGCTATGGTTCGTTGTCACTGGGAGTGTTGGGACGGAGTAAAGGCTCAGCGATGGCAGGTGTTCCTTCTGCCGCCTGCGAAGATCCCCGCGTCCTGGTGCCTGACGGATCCCACTCTGCGCAGGTGTTTGAGCTCACGCTGCATTACACGCAACACCGCGACCACAACGTGGTGACGGCTGCGCTGGAGCTGCTGCAGCAGGTGCTGCGCACGCCCCCGCCAGAGCTGCTCCGCGTGCTCATCACCGCCGGGAGCGTGCAGCGCGTCGGCGTGTCCCGCGAGGAGGCCGAGAGCCGGGCACGCAGCGGCAGCATCCTGGAGCTCATCGGTAAGTGGCCGGACCGCATCTCGCACTCACGTTAGCGAAGAGCCTTAAGTTCAGGATGTTCTCGGCCTCCCGTCCTGGCTGGTCGGCCGCCGTGGTAACCATAGGCCCCTCCTCTTCCTGTCCTCCTCACTCCTGGCCGTCCTTCCCAAACTGCCCACCGGGAGGGGGGGGATTCCCTGGTGTCTATGGGGGTATCTCCTCTGGGGCTCAGGGCTTTTCTGCTCTCTCTTCTCTCCTGTGACCTGCAGCCGGAGGAGGGTCTTCATGCAGTCCGCTTCTTCTCAGGAAACAGAAAGGTGACTATGCCCCCTAGTGGCCGCCCGCTTAGCCTCACGTCACCTTTCATCTGTAGCTATATGTGCTAGACTCCCAGTTTGTGTCAGATCCTTCGCTCCCTGATCCAAGGTCATGCGCTCCTTACTCCGGTCTGATCCGATTATCCACACAAGTTTTGCCCGTGGCCATTTTCATGGATTAGGTTGGATTTCTGTTGCTGAGCTTCATGGACTTTTGCTTTCATTTATTACTGAATTTAAGTGGATTTTAAAGTATGAAGAGCCATGAGATAATGGTTACAAGCCTGTCGGACACTTTAACAGAAGTCCATCCATCCATCCGTTGGCCGACAGCCGCTCCTCCTCTGTGGGCAGTGCCCCTGACACTCCCGGCTCCTTTTCAGGCAAGCTGCTCTCCGGAGAGGAGGAGGGGCTTGAGGACGACTCTGAGAGCAGGTCAGAGGTCGGCACAGGAGCCTTCACTGGTACGTGTGCTGAGCGGCGTGGACTGGATGTGGTGTGGCCGGTTCGTGGCACATCCTGCCTGTTAGCTAACTGCTAACTGCCCCCCTCCCTCCCCTCAGCCTCCGTGACCGGCGACGGCGCTGACGCTCCCTCGGCCTCCCTGGCCCCGGCGGACATCATCACGGAGCAGCCGCGCTCCTCCCAGCGCGGCCTGCAGCCCGGCGACTCTGTGGAGCTGAGCGCCTCCTCGGAGCAGGGCTCTCCCGGCTCACCTGAGGAGGAGGAGGAGGAGGACGCGGGGGAAGAAGAGGTGCTGAGCCCCAGCTCCGGCCCGGCCAGCGGCTCCGGCGGCCCCGAAGGCGCCCTGCCTGCCTCGTCGCCCCCCAGCGACAGCTCCCAGACCACCACCGAGGGCCCCGACTCAGCTGTCACTCCCTCCGACTGCGCCGAGCTCGTAAGTGTGCTGCAGGGGGCGCTGCAGCCCTCGCCAAGCTCCACCGAGGGGCCCGACGCCTCCTCCAGCTCCGACTTCAGCTCTTCCGGCACGTCTTCCTCCTCTTCCTCTTCCTCCATCGCTAGTGGCAGTGACAAGGTCAGCAGCCTCTGGGGAGAAGGCCTGCTGCCTGCCCTCCCCTTACCCAAACTCCACCTCTGGGGAGAAGGCCTGCTGCCTGCCCTCCCCTTACCCAAACCCCGCCTCTGGCCCCTCCCTCGCTCTTTGCTCCCGCATTCAGTTCTAAACCCCGCCCCCTCACTGCTGACAGCTCCCCTCCTAACCCTCTGCTGCCATTCAGAAAAAAGGAGGGAAGTCATTCTGACCAATCAGAGCACGAGCCCCTCCCCTGCCCTTTCCGCTTAACTTCCTCCAGGCCTCCACATCTGTATTGGGGGTGGGGGGGTGGATGATGGTCTTTTCTAGTTGGATGGCTACGGCAAATGTGCTAACTTTTGTAAGGTCACTTTATTTCCTTCGCCGTCTCGGCCAATCAATCGCGTGCTGTCATGTGACATCATATGCACGATGCCAGCTCAGGTTCAGAGCTGATAAAATTTGAATAAAGTCGATGGGTTTTCCACTCGCCACCGGATCAGTTGTGTTTGACTGTGGTCACGTGGCTCTGATCCGTTTGGCTGGTGAGGAGAGCTCGTGTGTTCTGGTCTGAGGGACACCTGCTTCAGAGAGCTGAAGGTCTGGACCTCATGCTCCCCCATCAGCAGGCATGAGGAGACCTGCATAAAGGCTGCTGCTCTCTACTCCTCTCAGCAGCTTCCGCATCATGCATTTGCTTCCTTCATTTTTTTTAGCTGGACTGTTTTACATTTTATTCATTTATCTGACCCTTTCATTCAAAGCGACTATAGAGGGTCGTAGTTTGTGTTCTCCCTGGGATTTGAACTCACGACCTTTATGTTGCTACTGCTATGCTCTACTTGTTGAGCTGCAGGATCTAGGAAATTGCTCATAATCAACTCAATGAATGTACTAAGGCTCTTTTAAGGGGCCGTCTTTAAGGTTCCCTGAATCTGACATAAAATGTGTGACTTATACAGACGCTCCCCGGGTTACGATATTTCGACTTTACGATGGATATTCCAGTTCCATTCTGTTTTTCACTTTAAGTCCATTATTCAAGAAATCATATGAAATAATCAACACTTTAGGCTTTGTGCTAATGCTTTTGCCCAACTGTAATGTAAGTGTTCTAAGCATATTTCAGGTAGGCTAAGCTAGGCCGTGATGTTTGTTAGGGTAGGTGTACCGTATTAAAATGAATTTTCGTCTTACTATATATTTGCCTTAAGTTAGGTATTTTGGAACATAACCCCATCATAACCCGGGGAGCGTGTTTATAGTGTGTGGTTTATTTAAATATAGAGTCATCAGTTTGGTGCACTGTCAGATTGAGTTAAACTCCATCCTGATTCTCAGTCTGTGATTGCCCTATCTCTGTGTTGGGTCTGCAGCCAATCAAAACAAGGGTTTCATGTTCTCTGTATCAAGTGGACCGATTTGGTCGCTGTCATCTGTGAGACCTCAGCAGTGCCAGATGTTATATGTGATACTGGCCAGTCAACGTGGGCCTGACCAGTATCATACCGTATGTATAACGCCAGGTGGACTTGAGTTTACAATTCAGTTATTGATGCTAGATGAGTTCCCCTCTTTATCTTCTTAATGAACTATTTCTTGACAGTACCTGTTATGCTGCCTTGCCCTGTTTCTCTTCTCTAAGTCTCTCCTTTCAGTGCCTGTAGCTTAGATATGACATACCATGGTGTGATATGATGCTGTGGTAGTTTTTCGTCCTTTTGCTGAGATATATTTAGGTTTCGTGTTGTTCGTAACAACACTGCACCCCACACCTGGGTCAGCCCGGTCTGTCAACAGTTTTGGCTTTACTGATGACATTTGTTGTGGTACGCTGAAGCGTCACGCGCACGGTTATGGACAAGATTCGCCTAGAGAAGTGTTTCTCAGTCCGGTCCTCAGGCACGCTCAGTCGGTCCAGGTTTTTGCTCCCGCCAAGCTCCATGCCAGTCCACGTTTTTGCTGGGAAGGAGTCTGTGGGTCCTCGAGGACCGGATTGGGAAACACTGGTCTGGACCATTTCGGAGCATTTTCTAAAGCTGCGAATGCTTCGTGTTTGTTGTGTTGGAATGGAGTGTCTAGCAGGACTCATCCTGAGCCTCTCTGCCTCAGGTTCTGGATGGCAGTGAGAGCCAGTACTCGGGGATGCAGATCGGTACACTTCAGGATGAAGAGGAGGAAAACGCAAACACCACTGCTGAGGAGACCTTGGAGTCCCTCTCCAGAACTGCCCTTGGTATGTCTGTCAGCTGTGGGGGTTTTTTCTTGGTGTCCACCCAGTTCTGTCTGTCTGTTTGGCATGAAGTCCTGAAGACTGGGTGAATAATGGTGGCTCCGTCCATAGCCTGAACCACGGTCACAAAACTGATTTATCTATTTTATTCCGTTTTACTCTGCAGTAATTTGTGTTTAAGCATAGGACAGGGCTGCAATTTAATAAACCCTCCTAAGAATCTGTCTGCTTGTACAGGGTAAATGTCACACTAGGTCAGCATCACCGCTAAACACCAATTTACAGTTGTGAAAGTCTGTGGTCCCTTCAGAATAATCTGTGCAAGTATGGGGTCCTCTGAAATCTGTTTTGATTGGGCCAAATTGCGTTTGAACAGAATTCTGTTGCAAAAAGAAGGTAGTCAAAATTTTGTGTTTTTTATTTTTATTTTTTTGCTTGTCACACCCACATCTAAATTAATAAGAACACAACTATTTTTTCAAGAGCTCATTAGCCTAAACATTCACATACTTTTTTCCATCAATCAGCTTGATTGTTTAAACCATTTATTTAATAAAGGTATGTAAAATATGTGTCTTTGTTATGATTTGGGGTTATTGGAGCCATTCGTGCGGAAATTCGATAAGTCCAAGGGCTTCGCCTACTTCTTCTCAGAGCTGTCTGCTCTTCTGTGTGCCCTGTCCATAGTGTTGAGCAAGCCTCACCTCCTAGAGAACAAAGGGCACAGTCGGCAGTCGTCCGACAGCAGCGTGGACAGACTGGTGCTCAAGGAAGAGGTGGTGGAGCCCACAGAGCTGGAGAACAAGGCAAGTCCCTCTCAGACTGTCCAGCTGCATCTGCATGCCCTGGCGTGCCTATGGACAAGTGTCCTCGCTCCATGGTGCTGTGACACGGGGCGCTCTCGGCCAATGGGGGCGTGGAGAATCCCATGATGACGAAACACTGAAAACTGATTGGCCTTTGATGTTCCACCCAGCCTTCGAGGATAAAAGGAGAGATCGGACACTACACAGACCCAAGGGCCGAGCCGCTGGTGCACTGTGTCCGCCTCTTGTCTGCATCCTTCCTGCTCACGGGACAGAAAGATGGTAGGGCTTTTTTTTTGTCTTTCCCTTCGGCTCTGTACGTTGTGATTTTATCGGTGTTCAATAACATCACAGTTGCAACAAGTTAAAAAATTTGAGTTGTAACAACATGCTAGATGTTTACACCGAGTGCTGAGTAAGCTGCTGTATGGTGATGTAATTTTAACGATATAATCTTCATCCAGGGACGTTTAGCGATTGTGGTTTATTTGTAATACAAGTGCGAGCAAGTTTTCCGAGCGTAGCCGCAGTTTCTGCTTTCCGGCGATTTACCGTACACCCGCTTGGTTTTGTTTTTCCTCTTGGCCAGGCCTGGTGCCAGACAAGGAGGTGCGGGTGAGCGTGAAGGCGCTGGCGGTGAGCTGCGTGGGGGCGGCCGCCGCCCTGCTCCCCGAGGCCTTCTTCAGCAGCCTGTACCGAGAGCCTCTGGAGGGGCTGCCGTCGGACGGTGAGAGTGCCGACCCGCTCCCCTCCCGGGGGTCAGTCAGTCAGTCCTCGCTTTGGCGGCATGACCGAACTCGCATATGCGTCCTCTCCCCACACAGAGCAGCAGTACGTCACCGACATCCTGAGGTACGTCGACCACGGAGACCCGCAGATCCGGGGATCCACCGCCATCCTGTGTGGGACTGTCATCCATTCCGTCCTCACCAAGACCCGGTTCAACGTGGAACCCTGGTTGGTTGCGGTGAAAACCTCAACGGGTGTGTGTCCCGAACGGAGATGGATAATCAAAATGGTCGTTTTAAAATCGAGTCGGATATAGGGTCTGGTTTTATTTTTATTATACGTCTAATAAACAGTTGTTGTGGTCTCACAATGTGATAGAATGGCTTGCTATTAATATAAAGTATTTTTATTGACCCCTGTGTCACGGTCGCCGATGGCTGGCTGTAAGCCTCAGTCAACATTCTCACTATGTTTGTGCCCATGTGACAGGAAACCCCATGTCTGTGGTGGACCTCGTGCCTCTGCTGCAGAAGACCTTAAAGGACGAGTCTTCTGTCACTTGCAAGATGTCTTGCGCCGCCGTTAGGGTGAGTGGCGTTGGATGGATACCTTCCAGTAAGAGGTTCCGTCATAAGTTTGGTTACTGTAGCAACACTGCGTTTGTGATATGAGTGATGCTGTGCCGGGATGGAGCGTTAAGGTCGCTGAAAATGCTCTGCATGTCGCAGCACTGCATCATGGCCCTGTGCTGCAGCAGTTTCAGTGAACTGGGCCTGCAACTGGTCATCAACCTCCTGACCCTGAGGGACTGCTCCTATTGGCTGGTCAGGACCGAGCTGCTGGAGACGCTCGCCGAGATGGATTTTCGGTATCGGAGTCTTGTTTCACCCTCCGTTGCGTTCTCGTCACGCGATCCACGCCAGTAACCCTGAGTTGGGCTTCTGCCTTGTTTGGTTTACAGGTTAATAAGTTTCCTGGAGAGGAAGACGGAGCATTTGCATAAGGGGGACCACCATTACACTGGGGTGAGTGTCAGTTCTCATGTGCCCCACGTGCACAAAGTACTGTAAAGCCCCTTTAACCTCTGACCCCTGCTGGTGCTGCAGCTGCTGAAGTTACAGGACAGGGTGCTGAACGATGTCGTCCTATACCTCCTGGGTGATGAGGACCCGCGAGTGCGTCATGTGGCCGCAGCCACGGTCGGCAGGTCAGGCCCTGCCCGAGCCCTTTCGGGTCGTACGTGTTCTTCATGCTGCCGTTCGGACTTCGGGGGGCTCCCTGCGGCTGACGCCCTTCCCCTTGCCGCAGACTCGTCTCCAGGCTGTTCTACGACTGCGACCAGGGCCAGGGAGACCCAGTGGTGGCCATCGCTCGGGACCAGAGCAGCGTGTACCTGCAGCTGCTGATGCACGAGAACCAGCCCCCATCCCAGTTCACAGTCAATACCATCACCAGGTACCGGCCCGTCCATACAGGGTGCACCTCCGTGGTGTGCCATTCTATGTGTCCTGTTAGTCCTGTTTTTTTTTAATAACTTTATTTTTTTGTTCATGAAATGCACCTCATTCTTATAAATTTGTGTGTATAGGCCTAATGTTTTTTTTCCCCCTTTCATGGTGGTCTGAACAGACCCGTAGAGAGATCAGTTTGTTTGATGCCATAGGCAGGGCCGGATGAAGTCGTCACAGAACACTCGGCAGATAATATTTTTTTGAGCCCCCTTCCGTCAACATTCTGCTTATTCATATGAGCAAATACTGTAGAAAATAACCAGATGGTAGCCTGTTAGTAGCTTTTTACTGTTTATTTTGTGTAAGTGTTCTTATTTATGTATTGAATATGGATATATAATAAATATTTTCATTACTCATGCCGATCGGGCCCTGGGCGGCTGCCTAGTTCGCCATGGATCTGGCTCTTTGGTGTAGGTTCTGTATCTACCCTGCTGTTACTCCTTAGGCTTGTTGACGTAGTGTGTGTGTAATGCAGCGGCAGAGTAGCACTGAGCCGGAGCACGTATCTCTGGTCCTCAGGACGTACAGAGGGTACAGCCTCTCCCCACACTCATCTGACATCACCCTGGAAAACAGCCTGTCCCGCGTGATCACGGCCGTGTCGCACACCCTCACCTCGTCCACCTCCCGCCCCCTCACGGTGAGTACGCTGCTCTGGCCGGGCGGCCTCAGGGTCAGCCTCCATCTGCAGGGGCAGCTGGGGAAACGCACTAAAGCCGGCCCGCTTTGGTGGGTGTGTGTGGAGCTTAAACTGCATCCGCAGCTGCTTTATTGAAGAAACGTTCTTTTGAATTTTTTTTTGTACTTTTATTTTAATGGAATATCACAAACGTTCAGCGCAATGAAATCAGCAGCCGGTGACTTGTGCATTCACAAACACCGTACTGACGAAGATGCAGGTCACTTCCTAACAGAGGTAGAGATTTCAGGTCCAGAGAGTACATATCCAGACTAAGATTTTGTTCCAACCAACCAGTTCTGTGACTCTTAATCTCCACCTCTGCTTCCTAATGAGTCATACAATCTTCACATAGAGTCACAAGCACAATGAATTGTTCCCAATAATTCTAGAATTTGTCAACAGATTCAACAGAAAGGTGAGGTTTAGGTTCAATTAAATTATTATTTTGCCTCCTGATAAGTTCTAGTACCCCAAAATATGGTAAAAGTTTTACCGGGAAACACTTGAGGTTTTTACAAAAGGAAAAAAAAATTAAAATCATGAAAAAAATAAGTTAATGCATAAAATATTACTTACAAAAATAAACTCAAACCTACCCAACTACAACTTCATCTAAAAATGAAGGCGACTGGGTTATTCTCTGCTTTGTGCCCATAGCTACCAGGATGGGTCTCTCGTGACCCTGCATTGGACAAAAAACGGATAGATGAATGATTATACTTTCCATCGTGAAGACACTCCACAAAGTTATTGTGAAGCCTGTTTGTGTCCTGCGCGTGATTTTCGTGCCGTTTGTCCTTTCTGCAGTTCGGCTGCTGCGAGGCCTTGTGCCTGCTGTCCTCCGCCTTCCCAGTGTGCACCTGGAGCGTGGGCTGGCATTGTGGCTATATCGGCTCCTCCACCAATCAGCAAAGCCGCTCGAGTCTCTACAAGAACAGGAGTCGTTCCTTCAGGTGCGAGTGACCGGGACTTTGAAGCGCCTTGAATCTGATTGGGCGGTAACTCTTAGCTCCTCCCCCGGCTTTCGGTAACTTGTTGTGCTGGATGGGCTTGACGAGCTTTAGCGAACATCAGTGCTGTCCCCACAGCCAGTCCCAGCCTGGTTCAGGTGACGATCTGAAGAAGACCTGCACCGTGGGCATGGCTAACATGGTGCTGTCGCTGCTGGCATCTGCCTGGTTCCCGCTCGACCTCTCCGCCCACCAGGATGCCCTGCTCCTGATGGGCAACCTGCTCGCAGGTACCCACCGTTCGCTCCCCACTCGCCACACTCTCCACGCTGCCGGTTCCTCACGTGCTGAGCCCGTCCTCACGTCCCCAACAGCCGCTGCTCCCAAATGCATGAGGAGTCCCTGGTTGGGGGAGGAGGAGTCCGCCTCCGGGAGCGGCAAGCAGGAGGAGGCGTGGCCGGCGCTGGGAGACCGCGCCGTGGCGGCTATGTTGGAGCAGCTCTTCTCCCACCTGCTCAAGATCATCAATATCTGCGCGCACGTTGTGGATGAGGTGGCCCCGGGGCCTGCGGTGAAGGTATTCGGAAGCCTCTGTTAGATCCTCACTTCCTGGGGGCCGTCATTAGGCACTGAAACGGCACTGAATTGGACTAGTGCGCTTGTTAGGGCTTAAGATGCCATCAGATCAGTTCGGCGGGTACCGTTTGGATGCTGGGTTGGTGTCTCAGGAAATGGGGAAGGACACTTCTTCACAGGTGTGTGGTTCCTACCTTGTATATTTGTACCTTTTTATAGGTCGTTTAACTGAAACGATTTTCAGCTATCTTAGCCTCAAGACGCACACTTTTCCTTGCTCGTTAAGTCACGACCCACTTTGTTGAAATTCTGAGGCCAATTTATTTAATAAAAAATAGTGCAGGTGGAAGGGCGGGTCAGTGCTTAGCGCTGCTGCCTCAGCGAGAAGGTCCTGGGTTCGTCCCGGGTCCATGCTGTGTGGAGTTCACATGCCCTCCCCGTGTTCGCGTGGGTTTTCGCCAGGGGGCTTTGATTTCCTCCCATAGTCCAAAAGCGTGCAGGATCGGTTGATTTGTGATCCTAAATTGGCCCTGTAGTTGTGTGAGAGTGTGAGCCCTGTGGTGTGTTACCGACTGCCCAGGGTTGGTTCCCGCCTGCACCTATTATTCCCGGGATAGATGTGTTTGCAGGTTTTTGGGATAACCTGTAGGTCAGCTGTGAGGACTCCTCAGCCAATCAGTCCTCTAATTAGTGATGTAATTGGGGAGTTGCAGCGAAAACCCAAGTACACATCGGCCCTTTCTGGATAAGATTGCCCGCCTCTGCATTAAGATGTACCCTAGCTACAGGGGGCTTGATGACAGCTTGGTATCATCTCAGCTTTTCGTCTCACGGAGCTTGTCGACGTCTCTCTTCCAGGCCACCCTCCCCTCGCTGTCCAACACGCCGTCACTGAGCCCCATTAGGAGGAAGAGCAAAGAGAAGGAGCCGGTGGAAACCAACGCCACCCCCATGAGTCCCAAGAAGAGCGGTGACGGCAGTCAGGGTGGGAGACCGTACGGCTCGGGGAATTCTTGGAAATTCTGGTGCTCTGCCGAATCGCATAAGCGGAGTCTGTTTTTCCTCAGCAGCCAGACCCACGGAGGGTACGGGGCCTGCCACTATCAACAAGTCCACCTCGCTGGGCAACTTCTACCACCTGCCCCCCTACCTGAAGCTCTATGACGTGTTGAAGGCCACCCACACCAACTACAAGGTCGAGATTAGACGTACTTTAAATTATTGCGCTGACTGCTTGCTATGACAGTCCATCTATCTTCTAACAGCTTGTCCTGGTCTGTGTAGTTGGTAGGTGCCTGGAGTCTGTCCCAGGCAACACAGGGTACCAGGATGGGATACACCCTGGACGGGATGCCAGTCCATCCTATGAAAATATGCAGGAAAATCCAGTGAATTCCTCTTGTGCCAGAGGACTAACATGACTCAGACACGATGCGTGACAGAATCTGTTTATTTAAACGCATTCCTGCTTTATGTTTGGCATTTAAAATGTCAGTCTGTTTTACAGTCTGTCAGATCTTCTGGGTTTCTGTAATCCATCAAATACGTTTGATGGTTCGGTAAACCTTCTAGTGTAGTTTTGCCTCAGGACTGTGACGAAGTTACCGAAGACTAGCTATGGAGAGCGAGACCCAGTGGTTAAGTACTGACCTAGTAAAGACGGCAGCTTCTGTCCATCCCCTGCAGGTGACACTAGACCTTCACAATCCCAGCGAGAAGTTCGGCGGTTTCCTGAGGTCGGCGTTGGACGTGCTGTCCCAGCTGCTGGAACTGGCGACACTGCATGACATTGGAAAGGTCCGACTTTGCTCTGGAAACCACGGTAATCGTATCTCGGGCCGGTCTTGCCAGTGGAAGTGTTCAGCGATCTCTCCCATGCTTTTTGTAGTGTGTAGAAGAAATCCTGAGCTACTTGAAGTCTTGCTTCTCCAGAGAACCTACCATGGCCACAGTGTGTGTGCAGCAGGTACGAGTCTCGCCCACCCTTCCGCTGCCCCCGTGATGTCTGTCTCATCGATGACGTCGATACTTACTTCCTTGATCGATTTCCAGCTTCTCAAGACCCTTTTTGGAACCAACCTGGCCTCCCAGTATGACGGCTCCTCGTCGAACCCCAGCAAGTCCCAGGGCAAGGGGCTGCGACTGGGCTCCTCCAGCCTGCGGCCAGGACTCTATCACTACTGCTTCATGGCCCCCTACACGCACTTCACCCAGGCGCTGGCCGACGCCAGCCTGCGCAACATGGTGCAGGCCGACCTGGAGCAGGACGCCTCCGGGTCAGTTTCACACGGCCTCTGCTGACTTCAGTCTGCTGCTCTGAGGGTTTAAATCAGTCGGACTGACTGATTAGACCAGGGGTGGGGAACCTGATCCATGGAGGGCCGGTGTGGGGTCGGGCTTTTGGGATAGCCTCTCAATCAGCCAATCACAGAGGGGTCCCCAGGACTGGAGTTGAGAACCGCTGCTTTATGATTGGCTGATTGAGAGGTCATCCCAAAAACCCGCACCCACACCGGCCCTCCATGGAACGGGTTCACCACCCCTGGATTAGACACTTCATCAATCCTGAAGGAAATTTCTGGTTGACAGTGTATGTGTATATGTATGTACACAGTAAAAAGACATTTAGACATGAATAGACAGAAAACAGTAACAATGCATAACCAGGAATGCACATGACTGGTATGCAAGTATGCATTGACCTTTAAAAGGGATGCGTGCAGCAATTGAATGCTGTAACAGTGGAAATGCGTACGTATTTTATGTGGATTTCTGCTGCTGTGACAAGAAATTACTATGCATTTTAACGGCTCAGAAATAGTATTGCATGGGGGATATTGCGCAGCAAATGACCGTGATGTTCTGTGAATGTATCTAAGTGGTTCAGGTCTGTTCAGACAGCTGGTCTGCCTTAGTGTGACTCGTCGTAGAGTCTAATGGCTTTGCTGTTCTTCTGTGTCTGGTACCACTGCCCTAGTCATGTCCTTTATCTAATCAGCATTGTACTGGGTCCTGCCCAAATGAACTGTGTGCTACTCTGCAGCTGCGTGTGAAGCAGCCTTAATTAACGTGAGTCTTTGTGACCTTCAGGTGGTTTGATGTGATGCAGAAGGTGTCCAACCAGCTTAGGTCAAGCATCGCCAATGTCACCCGACACAGGGGGGAGAAGGTAATGCTCTCGTCCGCCAACCGGCTCCCGCGGAGGTTCTGGTCTTTCGACATTCGCAGGCAGATGAAGGTTCTGTGAGGACACGGGGAATTACGCATCTCTCTGTCAGCGGAGACATTATTCACGCCGCGTCTAATGTATCTGGCTGGTTTAATTATTAATCTGAAGTACAATGCTGCAGTTGGAATGGAGCCAGTGCAGATCGATAATGCCATTACCTTCATGCAAGTCCAACGTGTGTTTTCAAAATTGATGGCTGCATTTTTCTCTAATTTATCCAGATAGACTTGCCCGATATATAATTTACTTGTTCAGTTGAAGCTTCATTCCTCAAGGGTATTGAGGCAGCTTGGCTTCAGTTCATCAGCTTTCCCATAAAAGGTCCCTGTGTTCAGTTTGGTATTTATTTTTTCTTCCCCGTCTCCTGTACACAGAACGCCATCCACAATCACATCCGGCTCTTTGAGCCGCTGGTCATCAAGGCTCTAAAGCAGTACACCACCAGCACGTCCGTCCTCCTGCAGAAGCAGGTCCTGGATCTGCTGGCACAGCTCGTGCAGCTCCGTGTCAACTACTGCCTGCTGGACTCGGACCAGGTGAGCGCCTCCTTGTGGCGACTTAGTAACAACTTCATCTGTGATCTGTGAACCAGTGTTTGTCAACCCAGCCCTGCAGGACCCTGATCCAGTTCACATTTTTGCTCCCTTCGGTTGTGTTGGGAGCTGGGAGGAAGCAGTAATGAGGACCCCCGAGTACTGGGTTGAGAAGCACTGCTATGTACCACCTGTTCATAGACTGTCTCATTCTGGTGGTCTACATTACACAACCTTAAATTATGTATTGGTATATGACATATTAAGTGAAAGTTACCATTCATGATTGCCTGTTACCATTTCGGTTCCATTGTTAATCCTTAGTTTCTTTTCTCTCAGGTGTTTATTGGCTTTGTTCTCAAGCAGTTTGAGTACATTGAGGTGGGACAGTTTAGGTGAGCTCTCTTCCGCCGTTACCAGCATCGAAACACCTCCTTTCGCGTCATATTACAGATCCGTAACTAGTGAAACGCAGTGTTAAATTTAGATCCTAGCTGAAGTGCTTATTTTGATTGTGTGTTGAGGTTTGGGCCGTTAAAGTCAGACTCCCTGATAATCGGAGGTTTGGTTTTTGTGCGTGGCAGGGATTCCGAGGCCATCGTACCCAACATTTTCCTCTTCCTGGTGCTGCTGTCCTACGAGCGCTACCACTCCAAGCAGATCATCAGCATCCCAAAGATCATCCAGCTGTGCGACGGCATCATGGCCAGCGGGCGCAAGGCTGTCACCCACGGTGAGCCCCGCCCACTCCCGGCTCAGCTGCATTCTGGGAGCCTGTCGGTGACACACCGTGATGAGATGAGCGCCGGCTCTTCCCACTGTCATGTTCAAATTTGCATATGTGTTGGAGTCGATTCTGTTTCTGGTGTCAACTTTTGCTACGTGACGCATTATCTTCCCTTATCTCTGTCTGCTTCTTGCCTGTTTTGTTGTCCCTGTCTGTTTAAGCTCTACATTTACATGACAGTGAGAAGCTCTTTGACACAATAGATTTCCAGTTGAGGTATAAATGTCAGTATTCGAATAAACAGAGAATCTAGCAGTGTCAACTTGAAATTAAATACCTAGCTGTCTTTAGTGGCTGTGTGAGCATCTCTGTCTCCGTCCACATTTAATATGGATTTATGATGTTTTGGACCAGTCCCGCTCATTGCAGCTGTTTCAGTGACCAGGCCGCTGTTGTCCGGGCTCCTCTCGTTTCCATAGCGATCCCCGCACTGCAGCCTATCGTCCACGACCTGTTCGTACTGCGCGGCTCCAACAAGGCGGACGCTGGCAAGGAGCTGGAGACCCAGAAGGAGGTGGTGGTGTCCATGCTTCTGCGTCTCATCCAGCACCACCAGGTTCTGGAGATGTTCATCCTGGTGCTGCAGCAGTGTCACAAGGAGAACGAGGACAAGTGGAAGAGGCTTTCCCGGCAGATCGCTGACGTCATACTGCCCATGATCGCCAAGCAGCAGGTCAGTGGGCTGACCCCACCCCCTGCTGTCTGTCTCTGTAATTGGGGGGGGGGGGCGTCGCTGAGTCCTAGAACCCCTAAACTAATAGCTGTTGTACCCCTGACTCTAGGGAGAGAGGTGAGAGAGCCCACCCAGTCATTTATTACAGAGTACATTAAACTGAGCTACACGTGAAGATTGGAGGAAAAAATGTTAATATATTTAGGATAAATTATTACACATTGATATGACTAACCTGAGCTACATTTTCAAATATAACCTTACAATGTAATTTAATTTTATTGAATTTAATATGCTGTGAGATGGGTTGGGGCCCCGTCCTGGGTGGTTCCCTGCCTTGCGCCCAGGATAGGCTCTGGACCCCCCCGCGACCCTGAATAGCACAAGCGGTGTCAGAAAATGTATGGATGTCCAAGTAGCATTTTCATCTGGGCAGTAGGGAGTGTAATTGCACCCCCAGGAAAAGCGCATGTGCTGACCCTCTGGTTTAGCGAGTGCATCGAGGCCGTAACTGCTAGGCCCTGACATATATCTGAGAGCCTGTCACAGCGACGTGCCATGCAGGGCTAATAGGCAGCGTGCTGGAGGTTCTGCCTTGTCTTCCAGATGCACTTGGACTCCCACGAGGCCTTGGGAGTGCTGAACACGCTGTTCGAGACGGTGGCCCCTTCTTCGCTGCGGCCTGTGGACATGCTCTTGAAGAGCATGTTTGTCACCCCCAGCACCATGGTGAGTCCCCGTCCACAGGGTGTGTCCCTTTTCGGCAGTGGCCGTGTCCTTCTGAGTAACCCCTCCCCCACCCCGGCAGTCGTCTGTGGGCACGGTGCAGCTGTGGGTGTCGGGCATCCTGGCCGTGCTGCGCGTCCTCATCTCCCAGTCCACCGAGGACATCGTGCTGTCCCGCGTCCAGGAGCTGTCGCTGTCCCCCTTCCTCCTCTCCTGCGCCACCATCCAGCTTCTCCGCCAGGACGCCGCCCCGGCGCCCTGTAGCGAGGAGATCAACGGCGACTCTCAGCGGCACCTGCCGGAGGAGACCTTCGCTAGGTGAGCGCCCCCTTCAGGTCAAGCATGTTACTCACCCTGCTCCCGGATAACTAATATTTGGTAATAACTGTGATGATTTTTAGTAGTTAAAACAGTTGGGTGGAAACAGCTGAAGAACTAAGTCTCTCTCTCTCTCTCTCTCTCTCACTCTCACTCACTCACTCAGGTTCCTGCTGCAGCTGGTTGGGGTCCTGCTAGACGACATCTCCACCAAGCAGGTGAAGGTGGATATGAGCGAACAGCAGCACACCTTCTACTGCCAGCAGCTGGGGACCCTGCTCATGTGCCTCATCCATATCTTCAAGTCAGGTAGGCCGAGCTGAGCCGAGGTCCGACAGAAAGGGGTCAGCTGATTGGCTCATTCTTGGGTAGAGAGCTACATTTCACTCTCAGTGCAGGCAGTCCTGGGGTGAAGAACGTCCAACTTGGACAAGTCTTACTTCCAAATGGACTGCCATAAAGCCTATTATATTCAAAATTTGAGTTGTAACTAAATAACATAATTATTATACAATAATAATGTAGTTATTATGTAGCGTATTATTTTTCTGATTTGCCTACAAATTTGACATAAAGACGGGCTTGAGTAACGGATCTTGTTTGTAACCTGGCCACTGCCTGTATTCCACCAATTCTGATTATGCCTTCGGTCTCGCAGTTAAGAGAGCTGTTATGGTTGGTTTCTCTCTGTTAAAGTGCCAACAATATTTAAGGAGGACTGTTTTACTTCCGTGTCGACACTTGGAAAAACCTCAGCTCATGTCAGTGTTTAGAATAGCTGTTCCTTTTTTTATGTTGTTTTTGCTTTTCAGTTTGTTAAATTCTTCACTGTGAAGTTTTTATTCTCTCTATATGGATGTATTCACCTATTTCTAAGCGAGTCACACACTCTTAGACATGGAATAACAGGTTCACTTGGTCAGTATTCTTTGCATTAAACGTTGTACCGTACCACTGTAAGGCAGGATTTACCCCCATGGTTCTCGTTACCCCCCCAGGGATGTTCCGGAGAATCACGGCGGCGGCCACCAAGCTGCTGAAGGCCGAGGGGGCCGAGACCACTTTCTACACGCTGGAGGGCTTGAACAGCGCGGCTCAGAGCCTCATCCCCACGCACCCCGCGCTGGTGCTGCTGTGGTGCCAGATTCTGCTGATCATCAACTACACCAACTACGCATGGTGGTCTGAGGTGCATCACACCCCCAGGTACGCCGAGGGTGGGCTGGGCACCTGGCGCAGTGCTTGGGGGGGGGGGTCAGCCAATGTGGTGACGCCATGTCTCCTCACAGGAGGCACAGTCTGTCCTGCACTAAGCTGCTGAGCCCCCAGCCGTCCGGAGACGGGCCAGAGGACAGACCGGAGGCCAGGCTGGCCGTCTGTAACCGGGAGGTGGTCCGCAGGGGCGCGCTCATCCTCTTCTGTGACTACGTGGTGAGCTGCCCCTCCTGCGTGTGTGAAGTGGGTCCAGATGAGTCGTGGGCTGAGCCGTGGTGACCCTTCCACCAGGAACCGGGGATTAGAACTGATGACCTTCAGGATGTAGTCATCTGATATCCCGATATTCGCATAACCCGTCTTACTCTACTTTGAGACAGACACACACACACACACAGACAGAGTTGAGAGTGAAGCTTGGAGTCGGAGTGCAGGGTCAGATGCTCTCTCAGTTTTGGGGGGATGTGACTATTCTGTTGACGGATTCGAACCAGAAACTTTCCACAGAGGCCTAGCCTAACCAGCTGAGCCCCACACTGCCCCCTGCTGGTCATCACTAGTAGGGGAGATAGTAATGTGGGTTTCTGTGGTTAATAGTGCAGGTTTATTAGGTAAGTGTGCATGGAGCATGAGCATCTCTATGGTCGAACCCCCCGTGATGCTCTCTCGCATGCCTGCAGTGCCAGAACCTGCACGACTCGGAACACCTGACCTGGCTCATCGTGAACCACGTGCGAGACCTGATCCGCCTTTCCCATGAGCCTCCGGTACAGGACTTCATCAGCGCCGTGCACCGCAACTCCGCGGCTAGCGGCCTCTTCATCCAAGCCATCCAGTCGCGCTGTGAAAACCTCTCCACGGTACGCCTCCCTCCCTCACTCTCACCCTGCCTTTCTCCATCCTGCTCGACTGCGATCGAGTCACTCTTCTGCCGTCCGTCCACCCCTCAGCCCACCATGCTGAAGAAGACACTGCAGTGCCTGGAGGGGATCCACCTCAGCCAGTCGGGGGCACTGCTGATGCTGTACGTGGACAAGCTGATCAACACGCCGTTCCGCGTGCTGGCGCGCGTGGTGGACACTCTGGCCTGCAGGCGCGTGGAGATGCTGCTGGCCGAGACCTTGCAGGTGGGGGGGGGGGGCGGGCCTCGACGGGGGCGGGGTCTGTCGCCATGGCGCTGGCCACTTACACGACATCTCCCATGTCCCTCCCCTCACAGAACAGCATAGCCCAACTGCCCCTGGAGGAGCTGGACAGGATCCAGGAGTACCTTCAGAGCAGCGGCTTAGCTCAGAGGTAGCCCCCCCACCCGTGGCTGGGTGCACTGGGTCTACGCGGTGAACCCGCACGTGGGCGGAGTTTTGACTCGCGTGTCTCCTCTTCCGTCCGTAGGCATCAGAGGCTCTTCTCCCTGCTGGACAGGTTCAGGGCAACCATCGCGGAACATTCTACTAGCCCAGGGCCGCCGGTCACCCCGCATCCCCTGGACGGAGAACCTTCTCCAGCCCCAGAGACGGTCATCCCAGACAAGGTATGGGCTCCATCTTAATCTGCCCCACTGCCTACATAAGGGGGAAGCAAGGGGGGTAGAGCTGTGTGGCACCACCATGTGTCTGTATTACAGTTAAGATCCCTATCCATCCGCAGTGCAGTCAGACCTTCTGTCTTTGCAGTGCTGCCATCTGCAGCCGAGTCAGTGTATAACATGACAGACTTTTCGTTCTCGACTTGACATTTTCATCAGACTAATTTTCCGCCAACTTCAGTAACATTTTTGCACTTGACAATCATTTGAAACCGGAGCTGTCGCTCTTTCGCAGTCTCTACCCGCCTTAGAATTAGCATCATTTGAGAATGACACAGTTGTACTTTTCCTATGATGTAGTTTCACAAAGATGGGGAATGATCAGTTTGAATGTACAGGGGGGTTAGAAAATAGCAATGGTGCTGATGTATGTGAGGTTTGGTCTGGCAGGATTGGTACCTGGCACTGGTCAAGTCCCAGTGCAGTGTGCACACTGACATTGCCCTGCTGGAAACCACTGAGCTGCTCACCAAACTGCCCCAAGCAGATCTCTCCTCCATTATGATGTGCAAGGTGGGAGCCCCTTTGTGGTGTCGGTGTTCAGAGAAATTGTTTGTTTCGTAGCAGAAAGGTGATTAAAATGGACTTGAGCCTTTGTTCTCTGTTCCACCAGGAGTTTAACCTGAACCTGCTGTCGCCGTGTCTGAGCGTGGGGGTGCAGCGCCAGACCCAGGAGCGTGGGAGTGTCCTCCTGGAGACCACCCTGCAGGTCACCCTGGAACACCTGGCCAGGACTGTGCAGCTCCTGCCCGTTCCGCACCAGCCCTTCCCCCCCCCCACCGACCAAGTGACCTCCGACACTATGACGTCCACCTACTGGGACAAGCTGGCAGACGTCTTCAGTGAGCTGTCCCTCCTTCTCAGTGACCTTCATCTCCTCCTTAAAATGTGCTGTCGTTCTATTTGTGTGTGGGAGATCTTCCCTGATCGTTACCGGTCCTCCTTAAAATGTGCTGTCGTCCTGTTTGTGAGTGAGAGTTCAGCTTTATGTGATCTCCTGTGATCTTTGCCAGTCCGCCTTAAAACATGCCATCCCGCTCTCTGTGTGTTGCAGGTGAGCTCGTGTTCTACCAGACTGTCATGAGCCTGTGCAGGGCTATCAGTCAGTATCTGCTGTCGTTGTCCAAGCTCCCTGCTTCCCAGCAGATCCCTGCAGACAAAGAGGCTCTAATGGTCAACTTTGCGGTGCTGGCCCTGGAGGTGTGTCCTGGGGGGGTGGATCACACACCCCATTCCCTGTGTTCTCCCCCATTCCAGTTCTGAGCTGTCTAACTTTACCTAGCGGTGTCCTGTTGACGTAGCTTTTTGATGGGAAGAACCATGTTCAAGCAGAACACGTACTAATGCCCCATCCCCCTCTGCCCCCCTTCAGTTGGTGCTGTGGCGCCTCCTACAGGACCAGCCCATGCTAACCGTGGACGTAGAGGCGGCCCTGTCCTGCTGCTGCCTGACCCTGCAGCAGCCCGGCCTCTGGGCCCACCTCGCCACCGCCTCACATTCCAGTCAGGCCTGCTCCCTCATCCGCTGCGTGCGGCTACTCATCGAAGCAGGTTGGGGCCATCGCCGTGGCGACACCACCGCCCTGCAAATCTCGTGGTGCCTCGTCGGAGAACCTCAGTGAATTCGGTGTCTTCTCAGTGGCGGTGGAACCTGGGGACCAGCTCCTGCGACCTGAGAGGAAGAAGACGACCTCGGACAGAGGCAGCGAGGATGATCAGGTGGATTCCGCGTCCCCAGCCGGTAAGTCTGACCGCCACACTGGGAACGAGTATGCAGGCGAGTGGCACTGTAGTCCTGACACGGGCCTCTGCTGTAGGGGTGTGCGTCAGGAGTGCATGTGAGGTCACAGCGGAGCTAGTGGAGGCACTTCAGAGCGTGCTGGCGCTGGGCCACCCCAGGAGCAGCCGGATCCCAGCCTTCCTCATGCCCACGCTGTGCAACATCATCATCAGCCTGGCCAGGCTGCCACTGGTCAATAGCTACGCCAGGGTGCCCCCACTGGTGAGGAGGATCTAGTACTTTTTAAGACCCATTGTGATTTTGGTTTCATAATAGATGTCACCCCCCCCCCCATAACAAACAAGCACAGTCTAGTAGCATGACATTTGGTGTATTGTGTGGGAAATTTGAGAAGAAACCCAAAGCAGCCATGTACTGCTGTCTCCACAGGTCTGGAAGCTGGGCTGGTCCCCCAGGCCGGCTGGAGAATTTGGCTCAGCCCTCCCAGAAATCCCTGTGGAGTTCCTGCAGGAGAAGGACGTCTTCAGGGAGTTCCTCTACCGCATCAATACCCTGGGTAAGAGGGCAGGCCATGATCGTAGATATCATTGAGCCGTGTGGTGAATCGCTACTGTATGGCGGGTTCTGAGCTGTGCTGGGCCGTTTGGGACAGGGTGGAGCAGCCGGACGCAGTTCGAGGAGACCTGGGCAACGTTGCTGGGAGTGCTGGTCACTCAGCCCATCACCATGGACCATGGAGATGAGAACCAGCAGGAGGTGGGAGGTGTTGGCATTCCTACCTTACAAGAGACGGCTGGGTGGCCTTTCCTGCAGTAGTCCCCAAACATCCCAAAAAAGTGTGATCCAGCTTCTCGGCACACCCCACTAGATTAGGCAACACTTCACCAGTCTGGGCAGATTAGCATTTGTCCTGGAGTAATTTGGGCAGAGGGTCGAAAGACAGGGTTCCTTTAAGCAAGTGAGGAAAATCTCCATTGACCAGGCGACCTTCTACATTTCCACCTGCTGAATCCGTTGTCTGGGTAATCAGATTTTGGCAGCCGCCAAGGCAAATGCATCCTGTACCTTCTCTCTGCTCGTTTGGTGAGGCTCTGTGATGGACAGGGGCTTATCTTCCTCAGGAGGACCTGGAGCGGACACAGATCAACGTGCTCGCGGTCCAGGCCATCACGTCTCTGGTGCTGAGCGCCATGACGCTGCCCATCGCCGGGAACCCGGCAGTCAGCTGCCTGGAGCAGCAGCCCCGCAACAAGACCCTGAAAGCCCTGGACACTCGGTGAGAAGCCCCATTTAGCCTGGGAGTGGCGTGTGTAGGCCTTCATTTCCAATTTCCACAAACTTCTAAGGAAGACCTGAGGTTGTGAGGAACACATCTTTAATAATCACTGGTTGACATTTATGAGGGATAATTAAACAGGTATGGTCAACATCCTTGTCGCTGTGCCTGCCAGGCCTGCAGGACTGAAATGGATCTTGCTATTGCTTATAGCAGTGCCTGGTGCTGATCTGTGGTTCCCCATCACACTAGGTTTGGTAGGAAGCTATGCGTGATCCGCGGTGTCGTGGAGCGTGAGATCCAGGCCATGGTGTCCAAGCGGGACAACATCGCCACTCATTTCCCCTACCAGGCCTGGGATCCCGTGCCGTCTCTGTCCTCCTCATCTACAGGTAACGGTCATCAGTTCTGGGGGTCAAGTACTGACCATCACCTCGCTAGCAGGCCATAGACATTAATGGCCATTGGAGTTGGTGTTGGCATGACGTGTCTGGGCATGCGGAAGCTAATCAGCATCAGCGTTTGGTTTACTCTCTGATCCAGAAATGGTCTCAGAACTATCTGAATATTATGTGTTGCCATGTCTGAGTTAGTGCATGCGAGTGGTTAGCAGAGTTTGAATGGTGCCATCTTTGCAGGTACCCTGATCAGCCATGAGAAACTGCTTCTCCAGATCAACACCGAGAGGGAGCTGGGAAACATGGAGTACAAACTGGGCCAGGTACGCATGGGAATGAGGCAATCACTCACAGTCCCGATACCCTGAGTGTGAGCTCAGTCTCTCTGACCTGCATGTAACTATCATTCGCTGACTGCATTTCTGCATGATGCACAGCATCATTAGGCATCATTAGCAATGATAACAGCAATGGCGTTTCAGCTGCTTCGCTCTCCACCCTGTAATGGACACTTGTAACCTTCACTAATGGGCACGGCAGCTCATTTCAGTGGCCCAGTTAATCAAGTATGAAAGATGCTTTGTTCAGATTTTAAGCTGGTTACATGACTTGAACTCGGTCACGCTTCCCTGGAGGTCTGTCGGCTTAAAAGGTCTTGAGCTTTTGAAATATTTTAAATTTTTATGTTTTGGCTGCATGGGGCTTTTTAGTAGAATGGCATAATTCTGTAACTGTATTACCAAGAAATAACTGACTTATTGTATTATTACGCATGGTGTTAGGCCAAAAGTCAGTTTAATTTGAATAAAAATATTAACGTTTTTTGTTTTTCTTAGTCTGTGCGATTTATAAGGAAAAGATTTAGGCAGTATTGATGTAGTATATCCTGCCCAATGGACATGTTCACAGTTTACAGGTATTGTAAATGTAAAAAATCATACCTTGACCACAAATATTTGCATGAAGGAGGTACTTTTGCTGAGGGACTTCATTTTCCTTGAGCAAAGACATTTTCTCTCTCCCAGACTGTCTAAATGAGCTATCCTCATTCTCCCAGGTGTCCATCCACTCGGTCTGGCTAGGCAACAACATCACACCCCTGAGGGAGGAGGAGTGGGGGGAGGATGAGGAGGATGAGACGGACACCCCAGCGCCGGTGTCACCGCCTACCTCTCCCATCAACTCCAGGTGAAGGCCATATCCCGAGGGGTTCTGCACGGTTCCATCCTTGGACCCATAGAGGTCGCTGACTCTGAGCATGCCCCGCAGGAAACACCGTGCCGGTGTGGACATTCACTCGTGTTCCCAGTTCCTGCTGGAGCTCTACAGCCAGTGGATCCTGCCCAGCAGCCCAAGCCACAGGAAAACCCCGGTGGTGCTGATCAGCGAGGTGGTACGTTCGGTGAGTTTGGCTGCACTTCCCTGGCTCTCCCTCTTGGATGGGCGTGTCTTTAATGCCGTCCCCCTGTCCCTCCCCAGCTGCTGGCCGTATCCGATTTGTTCACGGAGAGGAACCAGTTCGAGATGATGTACAACACGCTGACTGAGCTGCAGAAGGTCCACCCTGCTGAAGACGAGATCCTCAACCAGTACCTGGTGCCGGCAATTTGCAAGGCTGCTGCCGTTCTGGGCATGGTACAGGTTCCGGCTCATTTTTTTTTTTATCACTTGCTTGCTGCGTATTTTAACCACTTTCTGTTAATGATTGCATATTTGAGTGCATGTTCGTGCGCATCAGGACAAGGCGACCGCAGAGCCTGTGTGTCGTCTACTGGAGGCCTCGCTCCGCAGCACCCACCTGCCCAGCCGGATCGGAGCTCTGCACGGCGTCCTATACGTGTTGGAGTGCGACCTCCTGGACGACACCGCCAGGCAGCTCATCCCCTCCGTCTCCGATTACCTGCTGTCCAACCTGCGCTCCATCGCTCAGTGAGTCCCGTTCTTGGAACCAGTCAGGGGTCCCTCAGGGCCCCATCCTCGGCTCTCTGGTGACATGTGGCCAGCATGGGACTCCCTGACTGTGTCTAACTTGCTACCTATCCACTCTTTATCTCAGCTGTGTGCAGCTGCACAACCAGCAGCACGTGTTGGTCATGTGCGCCGCTGCCTTCTACATGATGGAGAACTACCCGCTGGATGTGGGCTCGGAGTTTACTGGCGGGGTTATCCAGGTGAGATAGGGCCATGCCGTGGTCTATCAGCCGTAAACGCTGTTTGCTAATTCTCAAATGGTGAAGGAATTATAAGAAAAAGTATGACTGCTTGATGAAGATTCCTATATACTGGGTTGGTTTCTCAGTCCTCATGTTCTTCCTGGTGTACTCTCTCTTGTAGGTTTGTGGGGTGATGGTGTCGGCCAATGAGGAGTCCACGCCCTCCATGGTGTACCATTGCGTGTTGCGGGGCATGGAGCGCCTCCTGCTGTCAGAGCAACTGTCCCGGCTAGACTCCGAGGCCCTGGTCAAGCTCAGTGTGGACCGAGTCAACATGTCAAGCCCGCACCGGGCCATGGCCGCCTTGGGTCTGATGCTCACCTGCATGTACACGGGTAAGCAGGGTATTCCTGTTGCGGAGGCGGCAGCATGCGCACGGGATCCTGTGGTGCCATGTCACCCCTCCCCCCGCTTCCCTTTACCCCCAGGGAAGGAGAAATGCAGCCCCGGGCGAGTCACCGACACGGAGCCCGCAGCCCCCGACAGCGAGTCCATCATTGTGGCTATGGAACGCGTGTCTGTGCTCTTTGACAGGTACTGTATTGTAGATGCTGGTCTGCTTTGCCTAAACCTACCCATAATGCTCTGTTGTTCTATCATGGAACTCTGCAGATCTCCTGTAATGAGTCTGCATATGGAGCTGTTAGTGAAGCCTTAGACTAATCTCTGCTCATTGGCCTCATCCTCGTTGTTGTTCCCCTCTCTCAGGATCCGGAAGGGCTTTCCTTTTGAGGCCCGCGTGGTCGCCCGCATCCTGCCTCAGTTCTTGGATGACTTCTTCCCCCCACAGGACGTTATGAACAAGGTCATCGGAGAGTTCCTGTCCAATCAGCAGCCATACCCACAGTTCATGGCAGCAGTGGTCTACAAGGTCAGGCTCCCTGATTGGCTGATCATGCAAGGAAGCTTTCAAGGAAGTCAGAGCAGAGACCTGGTTTTTTCTGGATCTTCTGTGTGATTTATTTTTCCCGTTTACACCATATTGCCCCAAAGCTGACTAACATACTTGTTAAAATGCGTGTTGTGGTGTGCCACGCCCCCCCCAGGTGTTCCAGACACTGCATGCCACGGGCCAGTCGTCCATGGTGCGGGACTGGGTCCTGCTCTCCCTGTCCAATTTCACACAGAGGACCCCGGTGGCCATGGCCATGTGGAGCCTCTCCTGCTTCTTTGTCAGCGCCTCCACCAGCCAGTGGATCAGCGCCCTGTATCCTAAACCTCTAGCTAAAATGCTGAGTTGGGTGTGATTAGACGCTGCCCTTGTGCAATGTCATGGAACTAGATCTGTTCATCAAACAGGGGGGACTCCATTAGGTAATCTGGTCATTCTGTGCTCTGCCCAATAGCTTGTAACTATGCAGGATGTGTTGCCTGTCTGCTACATGGAGCTTCAGCCTATAGGTTGTGTGTGAATCACTAGCTGGCAGGAGCAAGGGCCACATCAGTCCACCATTGGGCGTCGATCTCCCCCATCCCCCACTCCCCACACATGCTGCCTGTTGATTGGCTGCGTAATCAGAAGGTGGAGACGGTGCCGATTCAGGTTTGATCAAAACCGCGGGGAGTGACGTGTCTGTAAACTGCATGCTTTCCTTGACCGGGTCGCCCTCAGCCTGCCGCACGTCATCAGCCGCATGGGCAAGTCTGAGCTCGTCGACGTCAACCTCTTCTGCCTGGTAGCCATAGACTTCTACAGGCACCAGATTGACGAGGAGCTTGACCGCCGGGCCTTCCAGTCGGTCTTCGAGGTGGTCGCCTGCCCAGGCAGCCCCTACCACCGGCTGCTCGGCAGCCTGCAGAACATCCACCGGGTCACCACCTTCTGAGGGCCACCTGAGCCACGAGCCAACAGGGAGCGCCGGCCTCCCATCTGAGTGACCACTAGGGGGCAGGAGAGGGCAGGGGGCTGCATCTGTGTGCCTCTGCCTTCAAACTCACCCCAAGACCCCCCCGAAAGAAAGATTCCCTCTTAGCACCACTAAAACTCTCCGGTTCTTAATGCTTTTTGGCTCAGCTTGATCCACTTCCCCCGGCATGGACTCAACACTACTGTGTAAGGAGCTCTCTCTCTCTCGCTCTCTCGCTCTCTCGCTCTCTCGCTCTCTCTCTCTCTCTCTCTCTCTCTCTCCCCCTGTCCCTCGGTACTTGAAACTGAAGCTCTTGTGAATGAAAAATGAATCCTGACATTCCCTTTAAGGGGGAGCTTGAGTCAGACCTGTAGGGTTAAGCGCCTATAGTTAAAGAAATTACTATTTTTGAGTGTGTTTTGTTACTGAAGACTAAATTGAACTCTATATGACTGGCCAGAAAAGCACTATAAACCCTGCCTGATGTCCACAGTGGTCAAACTTGTATTTTTTTAATCGCTTCATAATTTCTCTCTGTCCTTTTAAAATGTCCAGGTCTCCGTAATTCCTTTAAATCTCTGGATAGCCATAGACAGCTGGGACTGTGTTTAACCGCAATCCTCCCCTGGCCGGTTGCAATCATTCCCTGTATGCAGTTACCCAGCACAATACATGTGTCTGTCTCTGCATCCTTGGGGTGGGAGGGGGGGCACATACTAAATCAGAGTTGCTTCTTTTGTCTTGTCTTTTTTTTTTGTTTTTTTTATTTTTAATTCTCAGGACGTAAGAAGAGATTATACTGACTGGAAGTGTCTTTTAATGGAAACCTTTCTATATCATGTATAGTCTGTACAATTGTAAAACCTGTGCTGCATGAGATCTGTGTTTTAAAACAAAAAAGGAAAAAGAAAGAGTGGAGGAAGAGTAGGGGAAGATGAAAGCTGGTACTGAGCGCGACTGTTTCCTAGGATGTTTCTGTCGTGGCCCTCGGTCCTGCAATCTATAACTCACTGCGCCAAGCAATAAACAAACTGCTGCACCCGGTATGGCTAACCCTCTATCACGAACCACAAGCCTCCGTTCGGAGCCACGTTGACGTGAGATTTGCGGCCTGACTGGATTACCTGTAAATACAAGTACTAGCTACGTAAATTGATTACTTTGTGTATATTAGAGCTGCAGCATGCTACGAGTCCGCTTTTGAACGGAAATGGATATTTTTTTAGGTTGCATCGGTCTCAGAAAGAGGCTACTTCGGTAGTGAAAGAATGTTCCGGGGGTTTGCGTTGCCTGTAACCTGGAGGATCGTCACTGTCGCTTGCTGCAGTGTTCGCAAATCCGCCTCACTCCACTTCTTTGAAGCTTTAAGCTGCAGTTCCTCAGTTCAGACTCGTACCGGAGCCCCTGCTTCACCTTAGTCACCAGATTAAGTGCCTGTTAGCGCTTAAACATGGAATCTACACAGAGCTGCTGCCGTCTCTAATCGTGTTGCTCAGTGGAAATCCGTAGCAGCAGATTTATTGGATGCAAAGTTGACGTCATGGCAAGATGATCTATATTTTGTTTTGTTTTCAACACCTGTAAGAGTGGTCATTTCATGGTAGACACTGAAATTGTGCGACACTGCACTTTGGAAGCTCTTTCCAACTGTATATTTCGAATTCAAGCAAGGCTTTCAAAATTGCTCAGTTTTAGCTGTGGATTAACTTGTGGGTAATCCCCTTAATGACTCTAGTCAGAGATTGTAAGCTGCAGCTTCTTTGAAATTAAACCATGTGGCTCGTCCGACCTCTGTAACAATACTGGAGATTGTTTTCCTCATTCCATCGGGGTCCTGAATCCCTCATTTTTGAAATGTGAAGCTTTAAGTTGTTCCCATATTTTGGCAGCACATATCATGTTCAGCTGTTTCCTTTTTGCTGGGGGGGGGGGGCCAGGGATGCGTCTTGTGCGATGTCGTGGTCGTCGTCGCCGCTCAGACCTCGGACATTTGTGCCCGCGGTGTTTTTCCTGTGCAAGGCTGTGAAGGGACGAATCTGGAGCCTTTACACAAGATTGGTCGCTGTTATGCTTTCATATTACGAGAGAAGATTGTATTACATTTTATGTCATGTTTTAACATTACGTGAAAAAAAATATGTAAAACAATAAAATGTTTTAAATTGAATTCTTTGTATGTGCTGTGGTTTTTGGCCTGGCATTTTGTGAGGTGTATTTAAACGCTTAAGTAATGATCCTTAAAATGTGATGACCGAACCGCCACGCAGATACATTTTTAATAAAGGAGCACATTTGTTTAATGAGTCTGGATTAAGTGCAGATCTGATGGCGTGATCCTCTTACTCTCTTCATGTATTTAGTGTTTGGCCGCTGCAGATTGAAGATTTTTAGGATGCCCATGAAGACTCTGAACTAAATGACGTGAACGCAATCCTGTCCAAGAACAAGACTTTGTAACTCCCCATGGAAGCTTAAGCAATGACTGAGTCACAGATTGGTGCAGTTTCATAGAGAAAGTGGATCTATGTCTCACTTCGTACACTGTGTGCATCACCCACTTTTATTTGTCCCCTGTAGCTCCACTGGTAACCATTCTGCATCCAGAGATTTGTGGCCTGCCATCAACCAGACTCTGGCCCTCCCTATGGTTTCTGAATCTGGGATCCATCTGTGCGGACTCACCCCCCGTCTGGCTCTGGTGCTGTTTTACTTTAGCACATTTAACGGGGACCGTCGTTTAGGATTTTGGTGAAAATGATTGACTCCCCAAACTTGCAATCCATTTGCCATATCACACATCTGATTGTTTGTGTGTGTGTGTTTTTTTTAATTCCCCTATCTTCTAGCTTTTGAGGGCTGCTGCTCTTCAAAACTGTCACGGGAGTGCCTGAAAGGTTTGTGTTAAGGATTACATGGCTGCTTTTTGGTTTATAGCTGCTTATACTCTGCTTGTATTGTACTGTGTGGTTCCAAGTCCCGAAAATTCGACTCTGCAGACAGACTGTCATGGCGTAAAGGGTTCAGTCTGTTCATCTCTGCAGGGATCTGGGAGCAGCATCTGTCAGCCCCAGGGTGCATTGGTAAAGGTTTTTTTTTAATCGCGCTAAAACTGATTTAGGTTGAATTAGTGAACAGTGCTGACATTGTGACGGCTTGCCTGTCCCGTTCTCAAATATACCACTTACATTTAGTAATGACCGTGTGTGTGCTGCATTGGAAGTGCGATATATTACAATACCCTCCGTCCAGTTCTTAAAATGTGTATAGATTTTACCCTTGAAACATCTAAACGGTCATACAAACTATATATTAATAGGTTTCAGGTGTTAAATTCAAAGAACTGACCAGATTAATATGTAACAAAATATGAACATATCCGGGCTCAGAGTAGGAATATGTAATCGTCGCGGGAAATACGGGATATCCCAGTGATTAAACCTTAGATCCATCCATCAGATATGTTTCATGGCCGCCAGCGCTGGCTAGCGGTACAGATTTACATTCCAGCGTCCCATTCCAGTAGCCCCAGTCTGCTCTCGGATCCTCTACTGGGAGGCAAGCCACACGCGCCTAATGACGGCCCCTGATGGACGCTCTCAGCACGTCGTAGCGATCGGCCCTGCCGGCTGTGACAGGTAATGCTCAGACACATCTGAGCACGATTTTCACCTGCTGTATTTCACCTCTTCACTGCTGCGCGATTCAGACCTACGGAGTTGGGGTTTTTAATTGTCTCAGTTAGATCCCCCCTTTTAAGCTTGGAAAATAAAATCCACTTTAGATACTAAAAACAAACCTTTCCTGCTGTTAGACTGATTTTGAATGTAGCCCATAAATTTGATGTAAGCTATGTGTATTAATTTATACTAAATTTTACTTTGCCGATCTGTATTTGAACCATTATTTAATATATCTTTTTAAATATAATACAATTAAATAAATTTAGACCATTCATTATGTAGTACGAGCGAATTGCGGTTTTCTTGCCCTTAACTACAAGCAAAAGGGAAAATACATTCTTTGTTTGCAGTCCCCTCAATAAATGGAAGCCGGACAGTGTTGTAATCAGTCTCAGTATTTTTGTATTTTGCATTCGCTAGTTGGCAGATGCATTTGCGTTTATGGGTAGCTTGCTTTCTTTCTACGGTTTACAAAGACGCCTTTCAAACGAATTCTCGCGTGTGTGCATGGACTACATCAGTCTGGGGTGCAGTCTGCCTGCCTTTTGCCATATGCTTGCTTCTGGGTCTATGTCATCCTGATTAGGTAAGCAGATTCTGATAATGCATACATAAATGACAGCTTGAGTTCTCGCTCTGCATTTATGTTTGCTTTTGTCTTTGATAATTCAATCAACTGGAACTGGAATAACAATGTCAAATAATATACCTAAATAAATGAAAAGTTTACTCTACACCTGATTTTTAATGTCTAATATATTACAGTTGGTACATAAAATAAAGTCACTTAAAGCAAATCCCTGTAACGGGTTCCTGCAAGCTGCTGGTAATACATTTACTGCTGTTGATAACGCCGTTGTCAGGGACGCATTTAAAGTTAAACAAAGAGATGGGGGGCGGTGTTGCGACGCTGGTGGGCATAGCTGAGAGGTAGGGAGTGTGTTACGTGCATTTCAAACTTTATTGCTTGTTTAAGCTGAAATACTACTTGGTCAGAGAAAACTTTCAGGTAATGCAAAACTAAAAATTATGGAACCCTAAAACCATTCATTTTAAAATCTTGGCAGCGATTGCAAATAAATACTAACGCCTTTGTTTCAATAACATCTTTTTGAGCGACTGAGCGCACAGTACGGAGTGCATGATCGAAACGGCAAATAAAACATATGGCTGGTCTTTAATGGTATTAATTTAATATAAACTCGCCTTAAGTGGACCTTCCCACGAGCTGCTGCCTGGGCTGTCGCGCGGCGTCACGTGACCGCCCAGGCAACCGTTGTCCAGTGTTTACCGTTCAGAGCGTTTCGTCGGGACCATGCAAGTGAGCGGCGGGACCAAGTAAGTTTGCTTTCAATTATTATCCCATATCTAGTGTATAACTGACATTCTGCCGTCCAATCCTGGCTTCGGTGTTTTATTTGTTACTTATCTCGATGAATAACAGAGGCTCAAACCGTACAATGTAAACTACACGAGTAACACCAGGTTACCACTGAGTTCACTTCACTCGCTAAGCCAGGCAAACAGCTGCTAGCTATAGGGAACAGGATAACTTCCAGGGAGCCTGCTAGTTGGTCTTTCCTTCTTGGCTTAGTTTACACCTACATGTTTTATTAAAACGGTATTAGTTGTATGGATATGGACTTTAAGGATAATTCAAAATGGAATTATGGCAACATACTTAAATCGACTCGTACTTAACACCTGTGGACGTAGCCCATTAAAGTGTAATTTAGGGACAGTCGACTAGCGGTTTGTTTAACAGCGCAGATGTTAGCGGACGTGACTGACAGCTTGCAGAGCCAATATGAGAAGTCAACGGCGAGCGGACATCTCCGCTGCCATGGTTACGGAGGTGGGGCCGCCCGCATTGGAGCAATGGCGAGGCGGGGCGGAGCTGCGTTGTCAAGCAGGGTTGGCTGACTTTTCCTGGGCTCTGGAATTCCACATCGGGACGTAAAAAGGGGGATGAGGAAGAAAGAGTTTTAAAAGTTAAAAAATCAAATGCATTTATCATGCAGGGCAGCTTAACTCGTGTGAGTGGGTGCGGAGAAAAGTTTTACTTGTGCAGAGAGACAATTCATTTAGCCCGCTATCGAGCCTATTACAGCGTAAAAAACACCTCAACTGTAGATTGTGCTGTTCAGATTCATTCTGAGTCGGCCATCACTTTCTTTTCAGATTTGGACCAGTAAGTAAAATGTGCATATTTAACTTGTATACTAGTGGGCTAAACCTCCACTTGGACTTAGATCTGAGTTTGGTTCAGTATTTAGCTTGCTAGCCAGTATCTCTTATTTTTTATTAATTTGAATTTTTTTCCCCTCATAATGCACATCTGACCCAAAAGTCCTGCCAGTTTGTTGTGAAGGTATCGGGGAGGGGGATTGCGGTGTGTCGCATGATTACCAACTCCCTACCTGTGCAAAGGTGTGCCCCGATTCGGCGCCCCACATCTGAACTAACAGCGGTTGATTGGCCGGTTCGCGTTTTGAGACTCAACCCTGCACGGGTCTTTACCTTTACGGCTAATGCAAGGAGAGACGCGATTCCCGTTTTCTTATCAAACACGTGTAGGGTTTTTATTCCACGTGTTTATTCAGGAGAAAGAGCACAGAAGGTATGGGTGCTGGCACCGAACAAAAAAGGCAAATTTAACGAAATCGTTTATTTGCTCTTTTCCGAAACATAACACGTCCTCTAAAACGCTTATTTTTGTATTGATGATTTTTATTTCAAGGTCCTTAACAGACACTTCTTCTTATGTAATGAGTTGAAGTATTTAGTTGAGATTTTTTTGAGTGTTCTTGGTTATACCTGGACTTCACACACTTAAACTGTTGCATATTTTCGATAAGATTAAATGCTACACTGTGAGTCTGTATCAAGACCATTTATTGGGAATATCCAGGCTTTGGGTTACACCCGGTTTCCAGAATCCTAGTCTAATATTACAGTAATACTAGGTTGAGTGTATTATTCATTGATTCTTTATTTGAATTTATTGAATGTTTGTAACCATAATTGCTCCCTGTCCTTCTAAATATTTCTCCTTTTAACACACTCCAAGAAGTGGGGTTAACACAGATAAAAACGCCATGGTGATGCTGGCAGCCAGCGACGGTTTCACCCCAGTGTTACATTTGGTCTTCTCTCTCTGCATTTCAGAAGCCCTCGATAAAAGAGAAAATGTTCAGACAGCCTGAGACGGCCAAGAGGCGTCTGAATTTGCCGGCAGCGGCACGCATCAGGAGCGTGGAGGTGGCGCGGGGCAGGACGGGCTATGGCTTCACCCTGTCCGGTCAGGCCCCATGCGTCCTGAACTGCATCCTGAAGGGGAGCCCGGCAGATTACGTCGGCCTTCGGTCCGGGGACCAGATCCTCAGCGTCAACGAGATCAATGTCTCCAAGGCCTCCCACGAGGACGTGGTGAAACTGATCGGCAGGTGCTCGGGGGTCCTGCATCTGGTCATCGCCGAGTGCAGAGGCCACCTGGATTCCTGCTCCAGCGACGAGGAACTCGGCTTCCACGATTCCAAGAACCACTGGCTGAGGCCGAAGGTCGACTCAAAGACCCTGGGCATCAACAGGGCTGAGAGGGTCGTCGCCGAGATGCAGTCTGGGGGCATCTTCAGCATGATCTTCGAGAATTCCAGCGCCTCTTCCAGCAGCTCTGAAAAGGCGGCGGCTCCGAAGCCAAGGCCTCTATCCGAACCGGACTGCTCCTACAGGCGGCAGAGTAGCTGCTCGAAGAGCAACCCGGACCTGCTGTCTGAGGAGGAGATGGCCAAGGTGCTGAACGACGACTCTGTGTTCGTGGACATGTTCGAGAATCAGGACGACTTTGCGCTGGACGCCAGCATCCTGAACGTGGGGATGGTGGTCGGGTACCTGGGCTCCATCGAGCTGGCCTCGGCCAGCGCCAACCTGGAGAACGACAGCCTGCAGGCCATCCGCGGCTGCATGCGACGGCTGCGAGCCGAGCAGAAGATCCACTCGCTGGTCATGATGAAGGTCATGCACGACTGCGTCCAGCTGTGCAACGAGAAGGGCGCCACCCTGGCCACGTACCCGGCCGAGAAGCTGGCGTTCAGCGCTGTGTGTCCCGACGACAGGAGGTTTTTCGGGCTGGTCACCATGCAGGTGACGGAGAATCATGGGCTTTCCCGGGAGGAGGAGAGCAGCCTCAGAACCTCCTGCCATGTCTTTATCGTGGACCCCGAGCTGTGTCATCACAAGGTCCACCAGGGTGTCGCCAGGCGCTTCGGCTTCGAATGCACGCCCGATCCCGACACCAACGGCTGCCTGGAGTTCCCGCCGACCTCGCAGCCCCTCCTGCAGTTCGTCTCTGTGCTCTACCGGGACATGGGCGAGTCCATTGAAGGCATGCGGGCCCGGGCCTTCCTCGACGGTGACGTGGACGGCCAGCAGAACAACAGCACCAGCAGCAACAGCGACAGCGGCATCGGCAACTTCCTGCCGGAAGAGAAGAACAACAGGGTGCTTCTCGTCGACCTCGGCGGTGCACCTGCCAGACACGTTCCCAGCGGCCTGTGGGAGAGCCCTCCGGCTCGAACCCAGGGCCAGCCGGCCGTGCACCGGAATGGCTACCGCTTTGAGCATGAGGGCAAGTACCACCTCTCGGATCTGCCCCACCCGGACCAGTCTCAGCTTTCTGCCCGCCATCTAGGCTCCTCGGGAAGGATGGAGGGGCCGGCCCCGCCCCCCCGGGCTCATTACCAGCATGCCAAGAAGGTGGGCGGGGCTGGAGCAGCGCACAGCGGTGGCCAGCGCTGGCTCCCCGTCCACGTCCTGAGAGAGCGGCAGCGGGGCACCAGCAGCGACCAGGAGTCTTACGCCGAGTCCACCGACGGCTGGTCCAGCGCGAACTGCAGCACCCTGCCGCCCCCCATGAGCAAAATTCCAGCAGACCGGTACCGGGCGGCCGGGGAAATAGCCCAGCCGTCCCGTCTGGCCGCTCAGAAGGACGAGTGGGCGAAGAAGCTGTTCGGGGCAGACAGGGCATTCAGGGAGCGGCAGAACGGCAAGCGTGGAAAAGATGAGGAAAAGAAAGAAAAGGTAAAAGTGCTTCACTGTGGCAGAGTGTGCGATTCACGGGTGGGATCGAGTCGTCATGCTCGCACCCCGGGTTCATCCATCCCCAGTCGCTTTACTTATAGTCACAGGGGGCTGTTGGCATGTTGCGCTTTAGCTTTGCTTCTAACAATCATTAAGCAGGGAAACATAAGAAAGCAAAATTAAAACTGGTTACTGAACTACATGAAGAGTGGACAGACTTGCTTTGGCAATGATTCTATTTGTTCATTAGGGTTTTTGTTTCAAAAAAATACTTTCTGGCTTTAAAGCCAACGACTAAGGGATTCCTAACCCTTTGCTACAAGGACGAAAACACTTAAGTTTTTGCAGAAAAATATTTTTTTGTTTCTTATTATCCAAATAAATGGCACATCAAATGAATGGTTTGCTGAAGACTGCAGGCTCCAGCCTTTGAAGACCAGGCTTAAGCGCCCAGTTGCAGGTCCCTGCGGCTTTCGTGACCGCGCCTCAGCTCGTATTTCTCAGTGTATGAAGAAATAACTGCAGTTAATTAAAAAAAAAAATTCTTGCCACCATTCATAAAAGTCTTACATATCTTTCGTGGTCTAATCTGTGTGATGTGTGACCAGACAAGCTGTCATTTGCTGGATTCCAGTGTCCCTTCGATATCTGAGCAGAACTCCATCTTCCGTTGCATCCATCTTCCATCGCATCTAAAAATAACCGCAGCCAAGCTGGCTCTTCAAACCATAACAGTAACTCGTATGTTGAGATACCTTGAGGTACCTTGAGATGTTTGACCAGCAGAGACGGCTCTGAGACACTTGTGCTCATTAAACATATCTGTGCCATGTCATGACCTCAAATAGGTCAGTCTGGCGTGGCCTACACAACGCCCACAAATTTTCCCTTGCGTATGTTAGAGAGGAGTCTTCATGTATTCCGAATAGTATTTATATATTTACATTTTGCGTAATACCTTTAAATTCTTAGCTGTCACTCGCCATCTGGTCTAACCCATTTTTATAGTTGGGTATTTTTGTGGAAAATTCGGGTGATTCTCTTTCCTGGGGTTCTACAGGACTATGACAGACCTTTTGGCCTTCTAAATTGTGAACTGGACTTCCATAATGGCTCCATTTCATGTGTCACTTCCTCCTTTTTAGAAATTGGGCCCTATAGAAATGCTGGAGTGTATGTTTGTGAAAAGCTTTGTTTGCACTTGCAGTACTCACCATGGTCAGTAGTTGGCAGCAGTGCGTTTGAGGATGCCTGTGATCCGCGGCTGGTGGTTCGGCATATATAATTGCGGCTGTTTTTGCAGCGTGCCTGTAAAGTGCCGGCTGGGATGATGCCAACCAGCAGAGCCAGAGTGGGAGACACGTACGGTATAATTCTGCGGTTCGCCTGACATGTTTGACAAGCAGTCTGTATCTGCCTCTGTTAGGTAAAATCAGCAGGAAGCGTGGGTGTCCCATGGCCTCTGACGGGAATGGGGAACGGAGTTTTCCTGATGCAATTCCTCCACAATGAGACGCATCGGAGATGAGAGACGCTCATGTGTTTATCGCTGTTTTATGCAGAAGATGAAATATCGCCCCGCTGTTGGGACTGAGGGCTCGTGCTGCCTGGTACACATGCCATTCAGATGTGCTGCCAGGTGTCCAGATGGCACATCGCTGGAGAAAAATCCAGCAACTTTGATTTATGTTTCTTTCGGTCAAAGCTGCCCGAGGTTTAACAACACAGTGAAATAAAACACCCACTAATCTGTTGTGTGCTGATTGTTTTGTCTCCTGAAGTGGAGACAGACAGAAAGTGTACATCGCAGGAATGGGGTTGAAATATAAAATGTTTCGTAGAAAATGTGTAAAGAACTACATGAAGAAGAGGTTGGATTGTTTTTTTCAGGGTTTTTTTTGGGCATGTTTGCATTCTTCGGACATCAGAGGGGCTTTTCCTGGTGCAGTATGTGGAGACACAGTACCTTACACTTACTGGTTCCCTTTCCAAAAACCAGCATTGATCATTAAATCAGAAACAATCAGATGGTACAGTGGATTTGAGTGTATTAGCTTAACTGCGCTGTGCTGTAAGTGCAGATCCCTCTGCGAGGTCTTACATGTGGGGGCCGCAGCTTGCAGAGCCCAGGCGAATCTGTACATTCATCCTGTGGTGGGTGAAGCACTGCGCTCATGTAAAATTGTCTCATGCGCTGAATATTCCCCGGCCACACAAAAAGAGGCACCGGTCACCAGTCGATACATTTTGTTTTGCCCATGAGCTTGGAAGACTTCCCAGCAGCCTCTGGGAGTAAACACGGTTGTCATGGGCACCGTTCCTGCCTCCTGGGGTTCAGACAATGGAAATGTCGCGGTGGTCTGGGTTGGACGTGTTGGATTGGTAACGCATCATGAAAGGGTCATTAAATACAAATAAACAATTTGTCAGTGAAATGAAGTAGTCTCATAGATACTGCTCTGGTAGTGGGACCTGTAGGTGAATTCTCATAGTCTGAGGACTGTCAAGACTGTAACACTGAAGTATTTACCTTTCTCCCCTTGGTAATTTTTCATGGGGGGGACATATTCATTCAGGTGAAAGGAGTAGGTGCTCTTCTCAGTCTGGGCCTTGAACTGACAAACTTCTGAACAGTGACACGTCATCCTAACCCACTGAGCCACACATTAGTAGTAGTATTAAACTTTTGTTCAGCTGTCCCTTTCATTAAGCTGGAGTTAATGATAACAATAATAATAATAATTTATTTATATATTGCTTTTCAGAATCTCAAAGATGCTTACATAGAATAAAGTAAACAGATAACAAAACAACTAATTCCTAGGGTGCTAACTACCAGCCCTTGGTTGTGGGTCTTAAACCCATGCAGTGTGCCACTCTCACTGAACAGGATAGTTACGGAGGGGCAGCCCTGCATGGTGACGAGATGTGGTTTAAAAGCAGCAGGTCCTCATTAGTGCTAAACATGGCGCTAAAACTTTCCATAAGGAGTTTGGCCATTTCAGTGATTAAATTAGAGATGAAGAACCAATCCCTGCCTGTCGCGGACAGACCCAAAAGCAGTACAGGGAGAACTGTTTGTGGAGGAATTGCTTTTAATGGCCACTAGATGTCAATGTTCCATCTTAAATATTTTAGTTTCGTAAAGTCTTGAAGAACTTTGTTTTGTATTAAGTGTGCTATAAGGCAGCCAGTGTCATTCCTTTTGGGGGTGACTTTGGATTCATTACGTTCGACAGCTGCCTTCTGCATTGTAACTGCCCGTGTTATATTGAGTAATGCGTGACATTTAAGGTGGAGGTTTGCAGCTGGTAAAGTCCAAACGCTGAGTGTACAGTGTACAGCTTTTGGTGGTAAAGCAGGCTGTGTTTGAACATGCTGGCAGAAGAGCTCTCGGCACCCTCCGTCAGCCTGCGAAATGCTGAGACGTGAATTCCACCCAGTGCTCCCAGCCCAAGCATGTGGTGTGGTTATGCTGGATGGGGGTGGAGGGGGAGAGGGGCTGGTTTGTGGATGGCTTGAGGCTGGAGATGAGCAGGCTTTTGGGGGGGACTCAGGGGCTCGGAGATGGCAAGGCCGCGCTTTTGCCGATGAGGACTGATCCGATGTTTACTCGCAGTGCATCGACTGGATTTCTGTAAACAGGATGGAAGGAGGTCAGCTGATCTTGAGATAGGCAGGGGGGTGGAGGGTTTGTGGTTAGAAATGACAAATAATTGCAAAGGCAGCTTGAAAGGGGAGCCCCAAGGAAAATTACCTCCTGAAGTAAATGTCGGAATAATTTAGCTCCTGGGCCTCACCCAAACCCACAGGCAGGCGTGCTGTGTGGGGGTGGTGTAGGGGGGTGTAGTCAGTGGGACTCGTCAGGCCGTCTGCCTTCCTCGCATGTGTATTAGCAAGGTAACTGCTCGTCTAAAGCAGGGTAACGCCTCATTAACTTATGCCTTCGGAGGCGGCATGATGCCTGACCTGCTGATTGCCCACTGGGATAGTACAGGGCCCAATGGCACAGTGTAGCAGCATTCACTGATTAGGCCATTGTCTAACCCTGGTACATTACAGCTGACAGTGCAGTGGCGTCTTAATAGTTAGGGAAGCGCACTTGTAATTGAAAGATTGCAGGTTCGAATCCCCGACCAGCAAGGCGCCACTGAGGTACCCTGAGCAAGGTACCGCCCCCAAGCACTGCTCCACAGGGGCTGAATTAGCTGCCCCCTGCTATGTCACGATGTCACATATGGGTTAAATGCAGAGGACACATTTTGTTGTTGTGCACTGTGTGCTGCGGTGTGTCAACACTGATCACTAACTTCCACCCTCTACCTGGCTGGTTTCTGGTCGTTCCCAGTGTCTCCTGCTTCACTTTGTTCTTGTGTCATGCTGTCTTAGAAACTTTGAGCCTGGAAGCAACCAGCCATGTAGCCTTCTGCCAGCAGAACCACGATTAAACCAGGATTTAAAAAATGTCAATTTCTAAAAAATATACAGTGGTCTCTTAATTTCTTTCAGAGCTGTATCTACGGTAGAGAAATTTAGGGGATCGGTATATTTAGAGAAAATTGGAGGCTGGTATATTTAGGGTCAGGAAAATTGGGGATTGTTATAAATATGGTGGAGAATATTGGGAAATGGTATATTTATGGTCGGGAAAATTGGGTATTGATATAAATATGGTGTACAATATTGGGAAATGGTATATTTAGAATGGAGAAATTTAGGGAGTGGTATATTTAGAGTAGAATAATTTGGTGTCCAAATTATAATGGAGCCATTTGGTGAAGTACTCAGTCCCAGATTTGAGCTCATCTGCCAAGAATAGCCCAAGGGGGGGGCTTCCTGGAGGCAGCGTTTAAGCAGGGTAATGGGGGCCATGTTCCTCTGTCTCACACGGTCCCGGAACCAGCCAGACTAATGTCAGTGACATACCATGCAAGCCTTGTGTCGTATCCAGGCAACATGAAGAGGCGCCTTGGCGATCTGAAGCCAGGGAATAAATACACAGCAATGTGCCCCTTGGAATCCTCTCGTTATCTTTCACTTATGATCTTTGCCCGCTAGTACAAAAACAGTTTTTCACAAAGGCTCGCAATGTGATCACATGTTTGTATTGGGAGTCATTTTTTCTTACATTTGTGATTTTGTGCCAGATTTGGCTTTATCAGATTTGTTTCTTTGCAGTCGAGGTTCCTCTTGTTTATTAACTGTGTGTTCTCTACGGAACCGCGCAGTCACAGTCGTGTGGGTGGTTTTGGGTCAAAACTCGTCCGCAGCAGATTTCGGGTGCTAGATGCCGCCCTTGTTCTGTGCCGCTGACCTGCAGCGGGGGGCATGTTGCTTCGGCCTCTACATGACATAACGGAAAGGTCAAGCAGAGCGGGGATTCTGCGAGAGTCAGCGAGCCGCCTCGCGCGTCGATGGCCCTCCATCTCGTCTGTAATCACATCTGCGCCGTGGCTGACAGGCCGGTGACAGACGTGACGCTGCGCTAATTATCAGTCATTCTGTTATTCCCGAGATGCAGAACAGGCCCTGCCATCTTAACAGCACGGCTGCCTGCGTAATTGCTGCGTTCGCTCCATTTGACGTGCGAGCCGGGTTATGAGGCCGGGAGAGCGACGTGTAAATTACACCCCTGAGAACTGGGGGCCGCAGGGTGCTTGGGGATGCCGGGGCACCCTCCTCCTCCTCCTCCTCTTCCATGTTGGTTCTGTGAATACTCAATCTCTCTCTCTCTCTCTCTCTCTCTCTGTCGCCCCCTAGGGTTCGAGGTTCGGTGGCACCCACCTGGGCCTCCCGAAGCTGCCTCAGCGCTCATCCTCCAAGCGCCCCCTTGGTCGCAGTCGGCGTCTCAGCCTGGCACGCTCCCTGGACGACCTGGAGGTAACGCGCGACCTTTGGCGCATGAGAGCTTTAAGCGAGTTAAGCGCTCCGACTGTTAACCCTCTGAGTCGTAGAGTAATAGAGGTCAGTCCTCCAGAGAGGATTGATGTGTGTCTTATCGCTCATGGGGGTGCAGGGTGGATCTGTGCGGTGCTCTGTTGCATCAGACCTCCTGCTCATGTCGTGCTCTGGTTTTCTGCCACATGCTGTCAAGTGTGTGTGTGTGTGTGTGTGTGTGTGTGTGTGTGTCCGTGCTTGTGCCCTGTGGTGGAATCCCAGCATACTCGTTTAAGTTAAGTTAAAATGATACTTAAGATATTGGTAGAGAAAGGAACTGGCATTGTATGTGGGAACAGGAGCAGTGAGGTATTGGCAGTACGGGGGAGGAGCTGAATTTGCAGTGTTTTAATGCTGCATTTTAAAATGATTGTCAGTATCAGTAAAATGGTTTTTGTGTGGTGAGAGAAACCCAGTGGGGGTGTAGAGGTCTAGTATCCGCTCTGGAGAAGATGGATCTAATCAAAGCAGATACACCTGGGCTGCTTCTCTCATCAGCGATGGAGTTAAAGAGCGAAGGAAGATTCCTCTCCGGGTGGAAACGCGGAGAGGCCAGCTGGAAGTAAACAGGGTGTGTGTGCAGTAACAATACATAAACTTGTAAAGTGTTTTCTGGCCCGTCCTCTATGCAGCAGTGAGCTACGCAGTCCATATAGAGCAATGTTTCCCAGTTTGGTCCTTGGGGATCCGCAGACGATCCATGTTTTTGCTCCCTCCCAGCTCCCTGTCAGACACTCCACATTTTCACTCCTGGGAAACACTGATACAGAGAAAGACAAGAAGCCTAAGAAGTGACTGTTCGGCTGTGTGTCTCTGCTTCTCACCCCCCTCCACCGCATCATGGGTGGCTCCCCTTTGCCGGCATGGGGATTCGGTGCTGCGGAAAGGGGGGGGGGGGTGGCGTGGTTATCCCAGGATGACCTCATTCCCACTGGACGGAGGAAGGCTGTGCCTTATAAACCATCCCCCGTTCCCCCCCCCCCCCAGTTTGGCAGTGCATCCGGTGCAGTTTGCCATGGTGTGTCCGTTTCACGTTTGCTGCAGTGTAGCAAATAGATGAGACGCCGCTTTAATTAAATACACTATCCGGAACATTCTATCCTCGGCTGTCCACGCCACCGTTTGTTAGCTTCGCGCTAAATTGGTTTCGCTGGACGGTGGGCACCGTGTGAGCGGCCCTCGGAGCGAAATAGAAATGCCAGCTGATAAGATCGAGGCCGGCGTTTCCGGAGTTTGGCCACAAAGACAGGCAAGGCCTAACTGGATTAATTGCCAGCGCCCAGGCAGATGCCGGACTTTGCTGCGTGTGAGATGTGCAGGGGAGCCTGTTTATGCACGGCCTGCATCTCCCCAGTGATGGCCATTTTCTTTGTGTTTACCCTCCATTCGAGGCGACACCCCTGCTCCAGGTGCGACACGCAGAGCCTCACGAACACGATGGGCGTGTCACAGCCCGCCCCAGCCCGTGTGTCACTTGACCGTGACTCAGCCATCCGTCGTACATTGTTCAGCCTGACAGGAGTGCCGCTGGACTTCCTCAGTTGGAATTTCACGGGAAGCGCTTCTGTTTCCACCTGAAAAGCCACTCGATCATTATGTGACAAAGCGTCATACCTGGGGGCCTTAATCTGATTGGCTTTGCTAAAGAGCTGGATGATTATGGATGAGCGACACGAAAGCACGTGGTATCATCACATCGCCATCTCAGAACCGTCAGTCAAATCCTTTACAAGAGACCTACTGCGGAATGGCGGCCGCATGTAACATGGTGACACAGCGTGTTCATGCGTTCCACGCTGTGTCATCCTGGTGACCCAGCGGTGACTGCCGCTGCCTCGTCCCATCACGCCTCTCCGTTCTCTCTCTCTAGTGTTTCGTCATTTTTGACTACGCCCTCCCCCCCGCAGGCCTCATCGATATCGCCTCCTACCCAGGGCTCCTCCCTCGGGGTCGAAGCAGGAAGCCGAGACCGGCTGATAGACAGCCCCCCCCCCCTCCCCCCCACACGCGCCGCGTGAGACCAGCCGTCTCCGGGCTGAGCAGGCGCCCCGGGGGGGGGGGGGCAGGACCGCCGCCGTATATCTGGATAATTGCAGACTGACCGCACAGCCTATTATTTTATCTCAAGGCTGCTAGAAGGGAGAATAATTGGCTATAGGAGCAGGACGTGGGCAGAGAGGCCGCGGTGTCATTAGCGCACCATTATATAGAGCTCCAGGCGGTGGGGGGGTAATTTTGTAGTCAGGGCTTTTAAGCCAATCAGACGGAGGCAATGGCTGCAGTCCTGTGCGGGTCTCCATAGTGGGGCTCCGGGGCTGCAGTTCTTCCTTCAGTCTCCCAGTGACTTCCGGCTTCATGCACCAAAGGGAAACCTTGGCGGTCTGTGTCCATGCTCTCGCTCAGGTGGTACTTTTCCCAACTGCCCCCCCAACGCTAAGGAAACGTGCTGACTCCGCCGGGAGGGTCGGAGAAAACCCAGGAGTTTCCATGGTGTCGTCGTGCAGATCGGCATTTTTTTCCGGCCCGCAGCCGATACGAGGCTGGTGACATGGTGGAGGCGGGCATGGGGGGGGGGGGGTCCATTAAACCAGTTGGAACAGGAATTCCCTCAGGCGGCAGAGGGCCTGCAGAGCCACCCCTAACCTCAGGAATGAGCTGCAGTTCTGGCTCCATACACACGGCACTTTTCCCATCCTGGAGGGCCAAGAAAATGCCTAAATGGGGGGTTGGGTGGATGCGCAACAACCCATGGTGACTGCACAGTCGGGCAGCCTTCTTTGTGGTCCATTTCATTAGTCACGTTTACATGACAGATGTAGAGAGCACCCCCCCCCCCTTTCCATATCGTACATGTGGCGCTAGGCAGTGTGGGTCTGCGGGCGTCACTCCGCCCCCAATGTCAGCGTCCGTGGGCTGATTGGTGGGCTGGCAGGTCAAAGAGCAGCTGGCTCGAAGGCTGCTTAAGGGGGGCTTCTTTGAAGGTGATATGGGAGGAAGGGTGGGTGGGGGGCAGGGGGAACCGGGGTAACGCAGGGACCGCCGGCCCGGTCTTGTGATGTCCGCCTCGTGTGGGTGCCCTGGGTTTATCTGCCTGCTT